TTCGATGGTGTATTCGATGGGCCGATACTGTAGCCACAGCACGACTACAGTACACCTGAGTATGTATTCGATGGACCGATACTGTAGTCACAGTAAGAATACAGTGCACAAGAGTATGTAATCGATGGGCCGATACTGTAGTCACAGCACGACTACAGTACACATGAGTATGTAATCGATGGGCCGATACTGTAGCCACAGCAGAAATACAGTACACCTGAGTATGTATTCGATGGGCCGATACTGTAGTCACAGTACGAATACAGTACACATGAGTATGTATTCGATGGGCCGATACTGTAGTCACAGTACGAATACAGTACACATGAGTATGTATTCGATGGGCCGATACTGTAGTCACAGTACGAATACAGTAAACATGAGTATGTAATCGATGGGCCGATACTGTAGTCACAGTACGACTACAGTACACCTGAGAATGTATTCGATGGACCAATACTGTAGTCACAACACGACTACAGCACACCATTTGAAACTTATAATGTGACATATGAAAATTATAATGTGACATTTGAAACAAATATTGTGACATTTGAAACTTATAATGTGACATATGAAAATTATAATGTGACATTTGAAACAAATATTGTGACATTTGAAACTTATAATGTGACATATGAAAATTATAATGTGACATTTGAAACATAATGTGACAGAGCACATATAAATGATGGTAACACACATAACGTTGATGGTTACACAAAACATCTTGATGATACAAAAAGCCATAGTAAGTACCACCGTATATATCATATATAACCATATGTAACCATATGTAACCATAGTTCAGTATAAAGATATTGTTCCGTGTAGTCAAGCGTGCGTACTAAGTCACTGCTAACTCATCGAATCCTTTAACAATCTGGGGCCGGCTTGATGTACGGAATGAAAAAACAAAAACTACTTTAAAAGATGGCGTAGTACATGCAGTGGCGTAGCGAGGTCGGGTGTCACCCGGTGCGGCACTTAATGGTGTCACCCCCCCAGAGGCGTAGCGACCCTTCCCGGGGTCCAAATTTTCAAATTTTCGATTTGCACCTCCCCCCTCAAACTTTCGATTTGCACCCCCCCCCCTCAAGTTTTCGATTTGCACCCCCTCCCTCAAACTTTCGATTTGCACCCCCCCCCCCCCTCAATTTTTTCTCCATATATTTTGCTATTTTTTGCCTTGGTGTCACCCCCCCTAAATGGTGTCACCCGGTGCGTTCCGCACCCCCCCCCCCGCCCCCCCCCCCCTCGCTACGCCCCTGAGTACATGTGTTGACCACACACACACCTTAAGTACACAGACACAAAAGTGTACTCAGTTATGTAAGTAAAGTAAGGATTCCTCTTTAGACCTAACGATCCATTTGGCAGTTGTAGTGGAATTCATACGTTTCTTGGCCTCGGCATATAAAGGGATAATGTGGTTAGCACTATGCCCAGCCGCCTTTACTTTCCCTAACATGAGTTAGGTACCCATCAGGGTTGGGTGGACGTTCCCTATAACTTGAATCCGGATTCGAACTCGAAACTATCGGGTTAGCAGTCTAGCGCTCCACCGCTAGGCCACGCCGTCCCACAACTCAGCTATGTACAAACCTGTAACTGTCTTAAAACTTCTTCCTGGTGCCAGCTAGCTATAATCAACTGAAGACTCGCACCTGTATTCATCTAATTGTAGACTAAACTAATGGAATAAGGCAACAAGCTTTCGGCAATAAATAAGTCAGTTTGTGATGAATATTAATAGATTTTTACCTGATATCATCGACGGGTAATAGCTTGTTGGGTTTTACAACAACAAAAATTTCCGTTTGAATATAAATATTGATTAGCCGATTAGAATACGGTAATATAATAGGATTTATAATTTGGGTTTATGGGATAAGTGATTAAAAAAAAAGTTAATCTGACACAAGCCGATTTAAAATCCCGTAAAGCTTAGCTGAAGGGTGAGCTCAAGAATTACGTAATTACGTAACATTGAGCTGAGGACTGTGTGGAGCTAAATTACGTAACATTGAGCTGAGGACTGAGCTTAACAATACGTATGTCGTGTGGAGCTAAATTACGTAACATTGAGCTAAAGTGCGAGCTGAATAGAGTGTCTTTCCTTTAGACAGACTCCCTATAATTCGCTTCTCTTTGCAGATCAAGACATTCGTACAACTGGGATGTTGGATTAAGATACTCAACACACCTCAGACGAACCCCGTCTCTAACCCCAACCCAACCCTAATCCCCCAACAAAATTCTAAGTCCACCAGAAACCGTCATCGAACTGTATTGGTTTAAATATCGATGTCTGCGAATCCCGTTATTTCAATGTGTGGGTTCGGTTAAATTGTAAGGATTTTTTTTCTTATACCGCGCAACCAGAAATAACGGCACGCACGTATAGAAAAGGGTTGTCGATGTAGATGAGTTTTGTGACGATATGTGACTAGTATGGGGTGGGGTGGGGGGGGGGGGTAGCGTAAATTTTAATTTGTTTTAATAAACAATGTTGAAATATCGTATTTTGTTACAATTTTTCGTGTTTCATTCTTTTTTTTTTCGTGATGTGGAGTGTGGGGGTGGGGTGGGGTGGGGGTAGGGGGTGTTAAATTTGGCTAAAATTATGAGACGTAAATTACGGTCTACAGATTAGAGTTAACAGTTTAAGTGTGTACTTTTTTTTCAATGCAAACTTTTGAAAACGTTTTTTTTTATATTTAAAACAACAATCTTTAAAGGCGAAAATGGAAATGAATTTTTAATTACCTTCTTTAAATTTCTCCCTAAACCAGCTTGATACTAAGAAGTCCAATATTAACAAATCATTTCAGTCTAATTATCAAAAACTAATTAGGCAAAATGAGATTTTAATAACTCATTAACAGTGCTACTATCCTAAGATAATCTATATTAAAAGTATTACAAGTGTAGAAAGTAAATAAATACGTTACTCAGCCTATAGAAAAGAAAACTCCGAAAATATTCCACTAACGTACGAACCACATCCCCACCTACCTTGCTCAACTAGAAATCACATTTGCCATTTCCATAGTGGCCGGTGAAATAATGCCCGTGGCCATCGAACCAGGCCATCTGAATATGTCTTGTTCTTATGGCCATCTCTCTCAGAAGCTTTGTGAATATCAGCCAGCACGCATGCGCCGATCTAGTTTTTGGAGCCGCTACTAAGGAAAGCGTGTGGCGGATTCAACCGAGGGATAAGTCCAGACTGGGAACAGTTAACGTGATGGGTCGATAGTGGCAGCGTCGGGTGTTTGTCAAAGTGGGTTTCTCTTCCTACACTCAACCTACTCGACATTCGTGTCACAAGTGTCGCACTCGTGTCACAAGTCACATTCGTGTCACAAGTCACACTCGTGTCATGAGACGTCACAAGTCACATTCGTGTGACGTGTTGCACTCGTGTCACAAGTCAACCTCGTGTCACAAGTCACACTCGTGTCATGAGACGTCACGAGTCACACTCGTGTCACAAGTGTCGCACTCGTGTCACAAGTCACACTCGTGTCACAAGTCACACTCGTGTCATGAGACGTCACGAGTCACACTCGTGTCACAAGGGTCGCACTCGTGTCAAAAGTCGCACTCGTGTCATAAGACGTCACAAGTCACACTCGTGTCACAAGTCACACTCGTGTCATGAGACGTCACAAGTCGCACTCGTGTCACAGCCCTTGCTTACCACGTCACTACACGAGCAAAGTAGGCAGTTTTTAGATTTCAATCTACACTTCAGTAATTTTGGTCATTTATTGAGAATTATGAAATAAATAAGCCAGCGTCTCCGACCCATGAAAGTTAAAAAAGTTTACCTCTTCCAAAATCGTTCTAGCTCGAGGTTTGGGCCCGATATCTACTTGCTCTAGGATTTGACGCAGCCGTTTGGAAACACACTAAGAACTCAATACAAGTAAATAATCCTACTCAGACCCAGTGTTTCTTCCAGACATATTTCTCCGGGGGGGGGGGGGGGTGCACTTGAAATTTTCGGGGGGGGGGGGGGGGGGCGACTAAAATTTTCGGGGGGGGGGGGGGGATGGCTCAGACCTAAAGATCCATTGGGCAGATGAAGCAGAGTTCGTATGTTTCTTTACCTCGGCATACGAAGGGAAAGTGTGGTCAGCACTTTACCCAGCCGCCTTTACTTTCCCTAACATGAGGCAGGGAACCATCAGAGATGGGTGGACTCCTACTGACTTGGACCCGGATTCAAACTCGAGACTTTCGGGTGAGCAGCCTAGCGCTCCACCGCTTAGGTAACGCCGTCTCATAAGACCACAGTACAATACATCTTTACATATAGGCTCACAAGTACACCGAGAACAGCGTAGTAGGATGATAGAGCATAAGACTACTAACCCGAAAGTTTTGAGTTCGAATCCTGGGCTGTCCACAAAACGTCACTTGGCCCACCCAACTCTCGGTCCGCTGACTCAGCTTAGGGAAAACAAATGGGGATGTACTCTACTTCACCTGCCCCATGGACCGTCATTTCGAAAGGGTACTTTTTCCCAACAAGTACACTAGACCCACACTCCTGTGTCCATACTTTACAAAATAACATTAATTTATTCTTAATCTCATTCCGTATCTCAGATAACCTATAAAGCGTTCTTTAATTTCAACCAATGAGCATATTAGCCTTAGAATTTCAAAGTTTTGCTAAAGCTCTATAAAAGCTCGAGGGTATTCTCAATATTTCTAATATCTGGCTCAAAAACAAGTTTAGGAACGTATCTAGTCGTTTCTTCATATTTCAGAAAAAGAACGGATCATTATATTTACATCGGATAAAATTTCTTTTCAAAAGAATTATGTTTAACGATGCCTATTTGTTTCCTATCCTAGATAAACATCGGTCTACAACTTCTCTTCTGATGATATGCTCAAGAAAAGATTACTCTGTTTTTACTTAAAAAGTATTCTCGTAAAAAAAGGTTCACAAAACTTTGACATGATGTCAACATCACTTCCTGTCATTTAGGGTGAACAACCAAGATGTCATCGGTGTTGATAATATAACAACAAAACTCTAGGACGGGATAAGTTTAGTGATTGAAAAATTAAGATACATTACTTCAAACATCAAAGTATTTGATCAAGGTGCTGTTCGATTTTGGTTCTATGATATTTTATTTGGTTGATTTCTTTACACATTTCTGTTAAATAAAATAAGCATGGAAACGAATAATTGTAATATTCATATAGATCTAAAATCTAGATCTAGTAAATGAATAGTTAAGTCATTTCAATGGCAAAACTCTTTCAATAAGTCATTCGGTTGTAAATTAAAACTGTACATTTAAAAATATATTTAGATCAATTTTTACTTCTCATTCTTAATTTAGGGCGGGTCTTAGTCATTACCCTTTCCCGGTCATTAACCCCTCCCCCCCCCCCCAGCTAATTACCCACAGGTCGTTATCCCCCCCCCCCCCCCAGGTCTTTACTTCTCACCCACCCCCTCCCTTATGATAATTACCCACCTCTCAAGGGTATTTATTATACACGTTAGTGGATATGAGTTGTCAGTGACGAATAAATCGTCCCCCCCCCCCCTTTGCGAGGCATTCAGTAGAATCAAACCAGCGTAGAATCAGAGTAATCCCTCCGGCACACTTCCTAACTATAACCCTGAACCTAATCCGAGCCCTAATATTACCTATTGATTATGGTTACGTTTAATCAGTGGCGTAGCGAGGTCGGGTGTCACCCGGTGCGGCATTTAATGGTGTCACCCCCCCCCCCCCCCAGAGGCGTAGCGACCCTTCCCGGGGCAACAAACTTTCCATTTTCGATTTGCACCCCCACCTCCTCAGACTTACGATTTGCACCCCCCCCCCCCTTTAAACTTTCGATTTGCACCTCTTAAAAGACTATTTAACACTCAAATTAATTACTTAATTAAGTGGAATTATCATTTTTCTCAATATATTTTGTTATTTTTTGCCTTGGTGTCACCCCCCCCCCCCTAAATGGTGTCACCCGGTGCGGTCCGCACCCCCCCCCCCCCCCCACGCTACGCAACTGCGTTTAATATTAGTGTTACGTTTAGGGACAGTCTGAAGAAGGTAATCGACATATATTTTTTAGTGACTGGCGGGACAATCTACAAAAGTAAAACATTTGTGTGGAGTTATGTGTGTGTGTGTGGGGGGGGGGGGGTGCTGATGGGAGGGGGTTATTGACCAGGGGAAGGGGAATGCCCGACCCACGGTCTTAGTTGAGCAGAAATGTCAAGGTCACGCCACCCCGGCTGCCCATTGATTACGCTGATGACTTAGTTCAAAGTCAATAAATCATTAAGTCCCAGTTTCAGCACAATGCAAACAATAAACAATAACCTCAGGGACTTTTCTATACTATTCCTTCGCCAGGGTCTTTAAGCTAACCCGAACCAATTTTTACGACACTAACCCTAACCTTGTCGCTGAGTCTGACCATGACCATTGACCTTACCCTAACTCTGACCCTGACTGTGATAATGACCATTGACCTTACCCTAACTCTGACCCTGACCATGACCATGACCATGGACCTAACCCTAACTCTGACCCTGACTGTGACCATGACCATTGACCTTACCCTAACTCTGACCCTGAGTCTAACCATGACCATTGACCTTACCCTAACTCTGACCCTGACTGTGACCATGACCATGACCATTGACCTTACCCTAACTCTCACCCTGACTGTGACCATGACCATTGACCTTACCCTAACTCTGACCCTGACTGTGACCATGACCATTGACCTTACCCTAACTCTGACCCTGAGTCTGACCATGACCATTGACCTTACCTTAACTCTGACCCTGAGTCTGACCATGACCATTGACCTTACCCTAACTCTGACCCTGACTGTGATAATGACCATTGACCTTACCCTAACTCTGACCCTGACCATGACCATGACCATGGATCTAACCCTAACTCTGACCCTGACTGTGACCATGACCATTGACCTTACCCTAACTCTGACCCTGAGTCTAACCATGACCATTGACCTTACCCTAACTCTGACCCTGACTGTGACCATGACCATTGACCTTACCCTAACTCTGACCCTGACTGTGACCATGACCATTGACCTTACCCTAACTCTGACCCTGACTGTGACCATGACCATTGACCTTACCCTAACTCTGACCCTGAGTCTGACCATGACCATTGACCTTACCTTAACTCTGACCCTGAGTCTGACCATGACCATTGACCTTACCCTAACTCTGACCCCGACTGTGATAATGACCATTGACCTTACCCTAACTCTGACCCTGACTGTGATAATGACCATTGACCTTACCCTAACTCTGACCCTGACTGTGACCATGACCATTGACCTTACCCTAACTCTGACCCTGACTGTGACCATGACCATTGACCTTACCCTAACTCTGACCCTGACTGTGACCATGACCATTGACCTTACCCTATATCTCGCACTGACTGTGATAATGACCATTGACCTTACCCTAACTCTGACCCTGACTGTGATAATGACCATTGACCTTACCCTAACCCTGACTGTGATAATGACCATTGACCTTACCCTAACCCTGACTGTGATAATGACCATTGACCTTACCCTAACCCTGACTGTGATAATGACCATTGACCTTACCCTAACTCTGACCCTGACTGTGATAATGACCATTGACCTTACCCTAACTCTGACCCTGACTGTGATAATGACCATTGACCTTACCCTAACTCTGACCCTGACTGTGATAATGACCATTGACCTTACCCTAACTCTGACCCTGACTGTGATAATGACCATTGACCTTACCCTAACTCTGACCCTGACTGTGATAATGACCATTGACCTTACCCTAACTCTGACCCTGACTGTGATAATGACCATTGACCTTACCCTAACTCTGACCCTGACTGTGACCATGACCATTGACCTTACCCTAACTCTGACCCTGACTGTGACCATGACCATTGACCTTACCCTAACTCTGACCCTGACTGTGACCATGACCATTGACCTTACCCTATATCTCGCACTGACTGTGATAATGACCATTGACTTTACCCTAACTCTGACCCTGACTGTGATAATGACCATTGACCTTACCCTAACCCTGACTGTGATAATGACCATTGACCTTACCCTAACCCTGACTGTGATAATGACCATTGACCTTACCCTAACCCTGACTGTGATAATGACCATTGACCTTACCCTAACTCTGACCCTGACTGTGATAATGACCATTGACCTTACCCTAACTCTGACCCTGACTGTGATAATGACCATTGACCTTACCCTAACTCTGACCCTGACTGTGATAATGACCATTGACCTTACCCTAACTCTGACCCTGACTGTGATAATGACCATTGACCTTACCCTAACTCTGACCCTGACTGTGATAATGACCATTGACCTTACCCTAACTCTGACCCTGACTGTGATAATGACCATTGACCTTACCCTAACTCTGACCCTGACTGTGACCATGACCATTGACCTTACCCTAACTCTGACCCTGACTGTGACCATGACCATTGGCCTTACCCTAACTCTGACCCTGACCCTGACCATGACCATTGACCTTACCCTAACTCTGACCCTGAGTCTGACCATGACCATTGACCTTACCCTAACTCTGACCCTGACTGTGACCATGATCATTGACCTTACCCTAACTAAAGTTCGGACTAATATTCAAATGGGGGTATATCAGAGCGGCATAGTGCACTACCACTAACCCCAAAGGTTCGATTTCGGTCCCAGAGTCCACCCAGCCCTTATGGGTACCCGACTTAAGTTAGGAAAAGTATTACGACCACCTGCCCTATGGACCATAAGGCTAATTGATTTTTCTACTCTTCTTCAGTTTCTTCCAGCCATCTATCCCCCCCCCCCTAAAAAATTCTACCGCCTCCCCCCCCCCCCCCCCCCCCCGAACGAAATGGAATTTATACAGAAAATATATACTTTTAGCACTGTCCGCCCCCCACCCCACTCCCGAAAATTTCAAGTGCCAACCCCCCTCCCCCATCCCCCCACATGGAGAAAAAAGTCTGGAAGAAACACTGCTCTCCTTTCGGCGGTTTATTATGAAATTCAAGATACACCAAAGCTGTTTTCATGAGTTTTAGTGTAGTGTAGGCAGACATAATGGCTTTTCCTGCAAATAAATGTAGAGTAGAATGTAGAACTAGACATTTAGACAAAATATCTGACTGAATTTCTGCCAAGATTCAACAACAGCTAGCCCCGACAGGTATTTAGATAGAATCTGTGACTGTACGCCAGAATTCACTCTTACTAACACAGGCAGATATTTAGATTCTGTGACTAAATTTCACACGATAATTCACACATACTAATACAGACAGATATTTAGGTAGATTCTGTGACTGAATTTCTCACCATAATTCACTCTTACAAACACAGACAGATATTTAGACGGTATATCTGACTGAATTTAACACCAGAATTCACTCTTACTAACACAGACAGATATTTAGACAGAATCTGTGACTGAATTTCACACCATAATTCACTCTTACAAACACAGACAGATATTTAGACGGTATATCTGACTGAATTTAACACCAGAATTCACTCTTACTAACACAGACAGATATTTAGACAGAATCTGTGACTGAATTTCACACCATAATTCACTCTTACAAACACAGACAGATATTTGGACGGAATATCTGACAGAATTTCTGACCAGATTTCTAGCACTGTCAAACGTACTCGCGCCGGGCAATATTCGGATCGATACCCGCCAAATTCCGCCGCTTGTTATCACCACTCTGTATGCTCGGGTGGAGACGACAAGAAATCGATTACATCATTCGCATTAAAATATGAGTAATTGAATATTCATTAAAAAATTAGCTTTGATAATCCTAAAGATATGCGGATTAGCATACTAGCCAGAGACGATCTGAGTAGTAGGACAAACATGCGAATGAAGTATAAGCTTGTAAAATAAAATAAACAAGCGTGGAGTGGCTATGTTGTGGTAAGGAGATAGTGGTAGATATCGTTAGGAATGTGAGACTGTTGTAGTCTTCTTCTTCTTCGTTCTTAATTTTAGTGTTGGAAGGGATCCCCCTCCAACACAATTAAGGATACGGGTCAATTGGTTATGCGCCATTGAGGCCATTGACTCCGCTTTCATCCTGCATTTCTTTTTGGATTTGCTTCCATAGCCTTTGTCCAACCAAGAACAAACTACAAGGCAGCAGTTGTTTAATTTTGGAATTGTCTCTCCTAGAAGAGTGGCTGTCCCCAGCTAACGAGCCTCATCTGCCCGAGGGTTCGAACTCGAGGCTTTTCGGTTTAGCTTTACCGACTCGACCACGCCGACCCCACTGTTATAGTGATAAAAGGAGTCTGTTTTAAAGCAACCACTACCCACTGGGTCAACTGCCCCAAACATGTAGTTCAGTTTAGAATTAAGTAGAGTGTGTACGATGTACTTTTACATACAAGAATAATAAAGTGTCTTCCTGCTTATATAAATAGTTCGTTATCTTAGTCTGTATGTTGTTTGTTTCCAGGGGAAGGGGGATTTATATAGAAAATATGTAATTTTTTCAGTGTCCGCCCCCCCCCCCCCTTCGAAAATACCAAGTGCCCCTCACTTCCCCCCCCCCGGAGAAAAAGTCTGGAATAAACACTGTTTTTTTTCTTGATATTAGAACAGGGTTCCATAAAAGACCAACCTATCTACGGTCACACTGTGTTAAAACAAATCCAAAGGCACTCTCCTAAAAAGGCGTGTAAAGATTCGCCATTTAAGTACCCCCCCCCCCCCTTTCATCCGATAGACACACACTCACATTTTCAGTAAACTAACGAGTTTTAATTTTTTTTTCAGAAGACATTGTTGAGCACTGCTCCCTTATCTGCTATCTAGCATAGTGTTACATAGTGTTATACCCCCCTCCCCCCTTCCAACACGTAGCATTCTATCACATATATTCTAACACCCCCTTCCCCATTAAATACGTAGTATATTGTCACAAATATCTTAAAAATCCCCACAACACACACACACACACACAAACTCACACACACTCACTTACTCACACACATACACAATTTCACACACACACACACTCACACACACACAAAGTCACACACTCACACACACACACACTCACACACACACATATTCACTCACACACACACACACAAACTCACACACTCACTCACACACAAACACACAAACTCACACACTCACACACACACATACACACGTACTATTTCATAAGTTAAAAATGTCCCGCAGGTTTAAAAAAGTTTGCGAGATTCGGCTGTAGAAAAAAAACAAAAAGAAAATGTCGCTGTTCGAACTCTGGCAGAAAGAGTCGATGAGCAAGAAGAGGAAGAGCAAGGCCAAGCTTGTCTACCCCGACTACAACGGCTTCATCCAGGTCCAGCGCGGCTTTGTCTGCTCACGACGCGCGGACGATAAAGAGGTGCCGCAAGATCAACCGGCACCCAAGTGGGAGCTCCCGGGCGACATCGACTACTTGAAAAGGTTTCTTCTTATTTCCAAATCTTTGTCAGTCTAGAAGGTTGTATAGGGTAATGTAGAGTGTATACGTTTAAACCCTGTTCAATAGCGTAGGTGGTGGGGGCAGAGGCGTAGCGACCCTTCCCGGCGCCCGGGGACAAACTTTCGATTTGCACCCCCCTTCGAACTTTCGATTTGCACCCTTCCCTCAAGCTTTCGATTTGCACCCCCCTCGAACTTTTGATTTGCACACCCCCCCCCCCCTCAAACTTTCAATTTGTTTTTCAAATCCATTTTGGCGCCCCCCCCCCACAAGGTCGGCGTCCAGGGACATATGTCCCCCGCCCCCCCCCCCCCTCGCTACGCCTCTGGGTGGGGTTGTTAAGGGGGGGGTCAACTGTCCTAACTGTTAGATTTCGCCGTTCACTGCTTCTTGCTTTGGAAACGAATATACCCACAAGTCACAGAGGTGTAGCTAGAAAAAAAAAGGGGAGGGGAGGCGGCGCCGGCCCTTGTGGGCGTTAAACAAGGTTGAAAACAATCACAAGCTCATTCTGAGCTGCGTTACTTATTCAAAATTTAGAAAAATTATCCTGCTACTTGACTTTGCAAGCTGATTTTATTTTTTTTCTACAGCAACGGTGCGAAACCAAAATATAAACTGCTGCAGTTTAGAACATTGCAATATCCGCCCCGAAGCTTTTCAAATTGGGGGAGGGGGCGAGTGGGGGGGGGGGGGCTTTTTCTCTATTTGAATAACTATATATAAATGTGTCCCTACACCTCTGACAGGACACCGTCAGTATTCCTCTTATTCCATTTCACCGGTTATACAACCTTCATACTAAATCCCTCAAATAAAAAAATAATCACGATCAAAACGTTGTGAGAATAATAGGGCTGGTAAGTAGGTCACCAACCAGTTCTATGGCTCATGCAGGTTTTATTGAGCCGTAGAAACTGGTTGATGACCTACTTACCAGCCTTATTATTCATGCCCATATTTGTTTCTATCTGTTTCTGAAGTTTGTCCCTTCTCCTCTTCACTAGCTATACTCTCTCAACCCAAATACACATTTTAATCATTATTTTTTCTGATTTATTTAGTAATTTCTCCTCATAAGTAAAAACAAAAAAACGCAACCTATCTTCTCTCCCCCCCCCCCCACATGCAGCAAGTTAGGCTTCACCCTAGGGACCAAGGAGGAGACCCTCGCCTCAGCTCGCTTCGTGCTGATGCCACGAGTGCCGCTCCGGTGGGGTCTACAGAAGCTGACGCTCATTCCCAAGCCCCGTAAGATCAAGCACGTTGAACAGATTGAGTTTACGGTATGTAGAGGCCAATGTTGCTTAACAAAGCTGTTGTTCGAGACTTGAAGCAGCCGTTCTAAAAATTCAAAGCACGGGTTCGAAACTCGAGGAATTGGCTATTGTTCGAGGTACAAAGCAGCCGTTCTAAAAATTTAAAACATTGGTTCGAAACTCGAGGAATAGGCTATTGTTCGAGGTTTGAAGTAGCCGTACTAAAAAGTTAAAGCACTGTCACGAATCTTGAGGAATATTCTATTGTTCGAGACTCGAAGCAGCCGTTCTAAAAAGTTAAAACGCTGTTTCTAATCTCGAGGAATAGGCACTTGTTCGAGGTTCGAAGCAGCCGTTCAAAAAAGTTTAAACACTGATTCAAAGCTTGAGGAAACATGTTAGTGATCTTGAAGGTAGCACATGCTCCTGTTGGTCCTTCTGTCAAATGATCTTGATTGTGCAGCTTCGATATGATTATGATGGTAATGATATTGATTGTAGAGCTGTGATATGATCAAACGAATACAGCTAGAGACAGCAACCAAATGTGTCCCTGGTCTACTGCTGAAACCATCCCCCCCTCCCCCCCCCCCCCCATGTCCTCACGTAGCCATCGATCTGGTCACACACAGGCCAATCGATGACACGAGGAGAGCGCGAGAGTCGTCATTAGGTTTAAGTAGATCAAAGGGGGTCAGTAGACAACATGGCTGGGGTGTGGGGGTCAGTAGACAAGAAGGCTGGGGTGTGGGGGTCAGTAGACAACATGGCTGGGGTGTTGGGGGTCAGTAGACAACATGACTGGGTGTTGGGGTCAGTAGACAACATGGCTGGGGTGTTGGGGTCAGTAGACAACATGACTGGGTGTTGGGGTCAGTAGACAAGATGGCTGGGGTGTTGGGGGTCAGTAGACAACATGGCTGGGGTGTGGGGGTCAGTAGACAACATGGCTGGGGTGTTGGGGTCAGTAGACAACATGGCTGGGGTGTTGGGGTCAGTAGACAACATGGCTGGGGTGTTGGGGTCAGTAGACAACATGGCTGGGGTGTTGGGGTCAGTAGACAACATGGATTGTAAGTTGGGGGTCAGTAGACAACATGGCTGGGGTGTTGGGGTCAGTAGACAACATGGCTGGGGTGTTGGGGGTCAGTAGACAACATGGCTGGGGTGTTGGGGGTCAGGTGACAACATGGCTGGGGTGTTGGGGTCAGTATATATAAGACTAGTACGTCGGGGGTCAGTACACATCTTGACTAGATCGTTGGGGGTCAGTATAACCATGACTAGGACTTTCGAAGACGCCAAGAGTAACAGTGAATGTCTGATATGGCGCTTGGATTTGAACATAAATCAAATGGGGTGCAGGGGTCATTTTAAATCTTGAAGGTGTATAAATACAACTCATTCGCGCACATCTAATATGAAAAATATAACTTATCAGGGCAGTTGTTGAAAATTTAAAAAAACACAATCGTGTATCATCAGCTGATTTGATCTACTACTTTATCTAAGTTTTTTTATCCCTCAAAGTTGAAAATGAAAATAATAACACAGCATAGCTGGCTAACAAGTAAAAACAGCGATATCTCCTGACACATCTTACGATCCGTTGGACAAACGATGTAGAGTTCACATGTTTCTTGACCTCGGCATTGAAGGGATTGTATAGTCAGCGCTGCGCCCAGGTGCCTTTACTTTCCCTAACGCGAGTCGGGTACCTAACGGAGCTGGGTGAACTCTGGGACGTCCCGCAGTGTCAAGTCCAGACCGACATCAACCCCCGACCGTCGGGCTAGCAATCGAGCGCTTTACCTCTCAACCACACAAATCCCACTTGCTATCATTTACAAGTAAAAAAAAAAATCACCCACCATTTTGTCACCAGTTGCAGAGTTCCAAGCCCTCCACAGGGCAACTCTCCACCTCCACCAAGGTCACGGTCGACAGAAGCTGGGAGGGGAGGGACAGCATAGGCGGGGCTGAGGGGAGGAGCAGCACCAGTGTACCCGAGGTCATGACCCCACGCCAGAGCCGGGACGAGCACCTCAAGGTAATCGGGTTGATCCGTGTAGCACATCAAGGTAATCGGGTTGACCCGTGTAGCACATCAAGGTAATCGGGTTGACTAGCACCTCAAGGTAATCGGGTTGACTAGCACATCAGGGTAATCGGGTTGACCCGTGTAGCACATCAAGGTAATCGGGTTGACTAGCACATCAAGGTAATCGGGTTGACCCGTGTAGCACATCAAGGTAATCGGGTTGACCCGTGTAGCACATCAAGGTAATCGGGTTGACCCGTGTAGCACATCAAGGTAATCGGGTTGACTAGCACCTCAAGGTAATCGGGTTGACTAGCACATCAGGGTAATCGGGTTGACCCGTGTAGCACATCAAGGTAATCGGGTTGACTAGCACATCAAGGTAATCGGGTTGACCCGTGTAGCACATCAAGGTAATCGGGTTGACCCGTGTAGCACATCAAGGTAATCGGGTTGACCCGTGTAGCACATCAAGGTAATCGGGTTGACTAGCACATCAGGGTAATCGGATTGACCCGTGTAGCACATCAAGGTAATCGGGTTGACCCGTGTAGCAAATCACACACGCAGTAGATTAACTAGGTGCAGGTGACTTGTACTGTCTTGCTCAGGAAGTAAAAAACAAAAAACGACCAAACGTCCCTAGATTCCGACTAATGTAATTCCATTTTCAAATATTTTTTTAGATCTTTTTTTCTAAATCTACCAAGGCAAATTAGCAAAAGATTTTGATGCATAATCTCTCACATTATTACACAAAAAGATTTAATCTCACCTTAATCTATTGCTTAATATAAAAATATGAGGGATAAACCAAAGGTTCAAACCCTCTTATAAACATATATATATATATATAATTCTCTTCTGGGAGACGCTAGAAAACAAGCTGTAAACGCGCTCCCTACCTCCCCACCCCTACATGGTCTTAGTGAGCTGTGTTCACTCTAAATGTTTACAAGCAGAGCCGGGTTATGTGACGACTATTGGGGCAGATAATTTAGTTTAAAACGATTTTAAACGTAGGGGGGGAAGGGGGGGAAGGAAGGGGGAAGTATGGTCCTTAACGAGCTACTTATTGTGTTTTAAAGAAATATTTTCAGTGGCAGCGTTGGTACTGTCGAATTCACAAATTATGAATTACTGAAAAGTAGAAAAAACAACAACTAAATAGCGGCGTATGTTATGCCGCGGGCCGGCTCGTTTTTATTATAAAGAGTAGTTGGAACAGTCTGCTTGTTCTGAAATAGCGGTATACATATCGCGATATACATATATATTAAAATTAGCTGTACAAATCAAAATTTAAACGTAGCATTATTTCAGCCCCCCCCCTCCTGCGGTCCCGACCCTCCCCCAGCACCCGCACAGTGACGCCACAGCAAACACAACGGTTTTTTGTTGACTCTATCTTACGTAATGTATGATTCTAAAAACCTCAGTGATTGTACCTGGGGGCGTTATGTTGGCCGACTCCGTAGAGTTGGTGTTGAGGGGTGCGCTATGAAGAGAAAGGCATTCAGCTTGCGAGCAATACGGTGATGTTTCCTATCTCGCCTTACATTGTCACGGAACCCGGTCACCCCCCCCCCCACTCACACTAACAGAGTTGCTGTTCGAAATAGAATTTATATAGAAAATAAATACTTTTATCAGTGTCCACTTCCCCGTTAAATTACCATGCAAGGCCACTAACTCTGCTTACTTTCTGATTTATTTCAGATGTTGTCTTCCCCCGTAGACCAGAAAGGTCCCAAGCGATTGACACTAGGGGAGATCACTCGAGAGTAAGACAGTTTTTAGTGTACCTCATATTAATATCGCGATCATCCCCCTTGATTTCGGATGACTTTATTAGTTTTGAATCACCACTTAAACATAACATCGTTTTTAATTCTTTTTTTAACAATGAGGTTTAATTCTGAGTTGAAATTATTTATTATCTTGTGCAACATCATTCTCTGCATAAGTGACTTTGTTTAACTGGAGACTCTCAGTAAAGCTATTCATTACTTCAACACTGTAGTTATATTAAATTCTCGTTATTACCTGCTAAACAGGACCCACTTATATTAATAACGAGCAGCCGATATTTTTTATTACCTTACTGATGCTGCAAAAGTCATATTATACTAGCAATCCGTCGATGCCAATTTAATTTTTCCAATCAATAAAGGTCCCTGTCTCATGTATAAATATATTTGTATCACCAGCTAATAAAGAAAATATCTAATGCTCTGGTTTTTTAAATTGTATATAGTAGTAGCTTCATTTGTTAACTATATTCTCGAGACAAAACTTCACTCCATTTTTACTAGCTTTTCTTAACAAACTGTAACTGACATTACCTCCCATTTGTTTATAAAATATTTCCTTAATCAATTTTACCTCCCTTTTTTATTTACAAACTGTAACTGACATTACCTCCCTTTGGTAACTAATTTTTTTTTTCCTTAATCAAAGTTACCTCCCTGTTTTGTTCGCAAACTGTAACTGCCATTACCTCTTTCTTTAACTAATTTTTCCCTTAATCAAAGTTCCCTCCCTTTTTTGGTTCGCAAACTGTAACTGACATTACCTCCCTTTGGTAACTAATTATTTTTTCCCTTAATCAAAGTTACCTCCCTTTTTCGGTTCACAAACTGTAACTGACATTACCTCCCTTGCAGACACATGAACGCCAACATGCGCCGCGTCCAGTTCCTGACCAACAAGAACGACTTCAACAAGAGTCGGCAGCAGAGGCGGCTGGAGAAGGTGGAAGAGGATGTGGTCAAGAATTTCGACCGTGACGGCTTCATTTTGGACACGGCCAAGAATGCAGTGTTGCGTGACAAGCGAATTCAGGAGAAAAAGGTGGGAGTTTCCACCACCCCCCCTCCCCCCCCCCCCCCCCCCCCCGGGGAGTGGGAAGGCGGGGAGAGAAAACAAACTATTATTTTGGATAGTTGTTTAAAAATGGGTAGGACGAATGCGATTTTTTAAAATTTCGAATACAAGTATCGATACCGGTATCAAGCTCTGGTTTCTATAGCCCTAGTCCAAACCCCAGCATTTTTTGTTCCTTAATTCTGATAACAGTCTAATAGCGAAACTGATAGGTGGAAAAATCGGTACGATACTTTATTATACTGCCTGCTTTTTTTTAAAAAAGCTCCCACTCGAAGTAGCTTCATTATTTGTTAATTTGTATTAATTTTTTTATGTTGTCATTTACCTAAATTTAGCCGTTATTTCGCGTGTTCAGAGCTTGGTTTTTGTAAAAAGTATTAGAAAATGAATGTGATAAACGAATTTTTTAGAGAAAGGCCGATATGTTTTAAAAACAAAATAACTGCGATTTTCAGAGCGGGGTGTAGGATGAGGTATGACCAGTAGCGTAGCGAGGGGGGGGGGGGGGCGGGGGGACGGACATATGTCCCCGGGCGCCGACCTTAGGGGGCGCCAAAATGGGTTGGAAAAATAAATTGAAAGGTTGAGGGGGGTGAAAATCGAAAGTTTGAGGGGGGGTGCAAATCGAAATCTCGAGGGGGGTGGGTGCAAATCGAAAGTTTGAGGGGGGGGGGGTGCAAATCGAAAAGTTTGTCCCCGGGCGCCGGGTAGGGTCGCTACGCCTCTGGGTATGACGTTTTAGGGGTAGAGGTCTATCTTATTATGACAATGTGTAACATATTAGGGGTAGAGGTCTATCTTATTATGACAATGTGTAACATATTAGGGGTAGAGGTCTATTTTATTATAACAATGTGTAACGTATTAGGGGTATAGAGGTCTATCTTATTATAACAATGTGTAACATATTAGGGGTAGAGGTCTATCTTGTCATAACAATGTGTAACATATTAGGGGTAGAGGTCTATCTTATTATGACAATGTGTAACATATTAGGGGTAAAGGTCTATCTTAATATAACAATGTGTAACATATTAGGGGTAGAGGTCTATCTTATTATAACAATGTGTAACATATTAGGGGTAAAGGTCTATCTTATTATAACAATGTGTAACATATTAGGGGTAGAGGTCTATCTTATTATGACAATGTGTAACATATTAGGGGTAGAGGTCTATCTTATTATGACAATGTGTAACATATTAGGGGTAAAGGTCTATCTTATTATAACAATGTGTAACATATTAGGGGTAGAGGTCTCTCTTATTATAACAATGTGTAACATATTAGGGGTAAAGGTCTATCTTAATATAACAATGTGTAACATATTAGGGGTAGAGGTCTATCTTATTATAACAATGTGTAACATATTAGGGGTAAAGGTCTATCTTATTATAACAATGTGTAACATATTAGGGGTAGAGGTCTAGCTTATTATGACAATGTGTAACATATTAGGGGTAGAGGTCTATCTTATTATAACAATGCGTAACATTAGGTGTAGAGGTCTATCTTATTATAACAATGTGTAACATATTAGGGGTAGAGGTCTATCTTATTATGACAATGTGTAACATATTAGGGGCGGAGGTCTATCTTATTATGACAATGTGTAACATATTAGGGGTAGAGGTCTATCTTATTATAACAATGTGTGACGATGGGGAGGAGAGAAAAAATCGTCAAAATAGCATGACGTCACTAATGGATCACCCCCTAAGGCATTATTTTGGAACTACGTTTTAAACATCACGTGCACATCTTAAATTATTTTTTTTGAAATATAACTTGTGTGTAAGCTGTTTTTGTTGTTGTTGTTGCAGAAACAACGTCGCTTGTTGCAGGCCCAGGTGACTTTCATGTCCTCACATGCCAGCTCAAAACACAGCACACAGACCATCCCCGAACTCTAGCACTCGGCCACGTCATCACAAACCGCTGGGCAGGGGACAGTGGCTGACGTCATCACAAACCGCTGGTCAGGGGACAGTGGCTCTACGCCTCGGCTTTAAAGTATCGCAATATTCTGTCTTACGCTCACGGTATCAACATAAAACATGGTATATTTGTCGCTACATCATAAAAAAAATTAATAAATATATAAAAGCATCGGATATTTAAAAATAAAATAATTATGTAAATCTGCAAAGGTTAAAACATCAAGAATAGTGTGATGGAGCTACGTTTAAGTAAGTTTCGTACTGTATCTAAGATCATTAGACCGTCGTGTTTACGAACTGTTCACCGTTAAAGCTACAGGTCATCAATCAATTACCATCGTTTAATTAAACATTCGACGTTTAACCAATCAGTGTCGTGAAGAAAATTGTTCGAAAAACAAAAATTACAACAAAAAAAATGAACCAAATTGGAATATGTCTTCTGGTCTTTGTATTTCATCTTGGCTAAAGACAGTTTATCTGCTGTTTACAACTCATCTTTGCTCATAACATCCTAATGTTGCACGTTTTGGAAGCACTCAACAGATGCGCTTTTGTGTTCATCATCTTTTCGACAACTACACCATTGCTCAAAAAATGTTTACTTAGGTTAAATATAACTGTAAAAACTTGCAACGAGCTTTAACGTTCTTTTTTAATGTATGTATTGCATGTTTTTTTTTTAAAAAGTTAATTTTTTACGTCTTGTCGCGACATAGACTTACATCTCACATGAAAAAAATTAAAGTTTATTTTTTATTTTACCCATCGTGTTCTGATTTATCTTAACAAATTTTAACAATGTGTGTCCTGATTTATCTCATGTGTGTCCTGATTTATCTCATGTGTGTCCTGATTTATCTCATGTGTGTCCGGATTTATCTCATGTGTGTCCTGATTTATCGCAATGTGTGTCCTGATTTATCTAAATGTGTGTCCTGATTTATCTCATGTGTGTCCTGATTTATCTCATGTGTGTCCTGATTTATCTCAATGTGTGTCCTGATTTATCTCATGTGTGTTCTAATTTATCTCATGTGTGTCCTGATTTATCTCATGTGTGTCCTGATTTATCTCATGTGTGTCCTGATTTATCTCATGTGTGTCCTGATTTATCTCATGTGTGTCCTGATTTATCTCATGTGTGTCCTGATTTATCTCATGTGTATCCTGATTTATCTCAATGTGTGTCCTGATTTATCTCATGTGTGTCCTGATTTATCTCATGTGTATCCTGATTTATCTCATGTGTATCCTGATTTATCTCATGTGTGTCCTGAATTATCTCAATGTATGTCCTGATTTATCTCAGGTGTGTCCTGATTTATCTCATTGTGTGTCCTGATTTATCTCAATGTGTGTCCTGATTTATCTCAATGTGTGTCCTGAATGGTCTCAATGTGTGTCCTGATTTATCTCATGTGTGTCCTGAATTATCTCATGTGTGTCCTGATTTATCTCATGTGTGTCCTGATTTATCTCATGTGTGTCCTGATTTATCTCAATGTGTGTCCTGATTTATCTCAATGTGTGTCCTGATTTATCTCAATGTGTGTCCTGATTTATCTCAGGTGTGTCCTGATTTATCTCAATGTGTGTCCTGATTTATCTCAGGTGTGTCCTAATTTATACCAATGTGTGTCCTGAATTATCTCATGTGTTTCCTGATTTATCTCAGGTGTGTCCTAATTTATCTCATGTGTGTCCTGATTTATCTCATGTGTGTCCTGATTTATCTCAGGTGTGTCCTAATTTATCTCATGTGTGTCCTGATTTATCTCATGTGTGTCCTGATTTATCTCATGTGTGTCCTGATTTATCTCAATGTGTGTCCTGATTTATCTCAAGTGTGTCCTGATTTATCTCATGTGTGTCCTGATTTATCTCATGTGTGTCCTGATTTATCTCATGTGTGTCCTAATTTATCTCATGTGTGTCCTGATTTATCTCATGTGTGTCCTGATTTATCTCAATGTGTGTCCTGATTTATCTCTATGTGTGTCCTGATTTATCTCTATGTGTGTCCTGATTTATCTCTATGTGTGTCCTGAATTATCTCATGTGTGTCCTGATTTGCATTATCATATTTTAACAATATGTGTCCTGATTTACATCAACATATTTTAATGTGTGTCCTGTTGTTGTACAATGTATATTCTGATTTACACCAAACAGAATTTAACAATTTTTATCTTATTTACATGAACAAATTTTAAACCATTCTGTTCTGATATGAATCTACAAATTTTAATCTATTCTGATATGATTTACCTGCTCAAATCTAACCTTCATTCGTTAATATAATTGAACTAGTAGCTGTATTTCAATTAGAATCGTATCGATTTTATAGTATCGCATCTGCAAGTGTCTCAATACCTTATTAATACTAACCAAGGTATCGAGTCTGTGATAGAAATCGTAACTCTAATTTCTGACTTGCCGAATATTCGACATATTGTCTGCCGGTTAAAACACATAAAATAATCTCTAACCCACAATCTCTAACCAATGTCTGTTTCTCATCTGTTTCATTGATCTACCAACCCGTGTATTTTAGCAATTAACGTGCTGGTTTTACCTACCCTATTTCCGTGTTCTCTTAAATTATTTTTAAACAAAAACTGTACACCTTTGCTTCTCCCCATCAATACATTATGTTAAATTTGCCGTACATTATTACGGGAATAGTTTAAGAGTTAATTTGCTGTTCATATTATGAAAGTAGTGGTAATTATTAGTGAAGATAAACGTACAAGTAAGCCGTCCTTTGACCATACCCATTAGTAAATGCCACACCTTACAGATTAAACAATACCAGCTTTTATTGTATACCCCATCCACCCCAGACGTGACCCTGTATCTTGTTACACACTATAACCTGCCCTCCCTGTGACCTACTACACACGCCCCCACCCCCCAACATCCCATTTACACAGGTAACCCACCTACCTGGGCAGATTGTGTGCGATGATCCAGTCCCTCGAGGGATGCCAGTTCCAAGTTTACCTCCCTTCTAGTGCGGGCCGCTGACTGGGGGAGACAACTGTGTTGCAGAACTCGAGTTTTTCTTCCTTCTTCTCACCATTCACCCTTGCTGTCACTGAGCCCTGCTGATACAACAGAAACCGTTACCAAAAAATAGTTAAAAGTGCTACAATAGACAATAGCAACAATAGAACTACATCAAGGTATAAAATCCTTTTTCCCTAGACCCTGTTGATACAACAGAAACCGTTACCAAAAAATGTTAAAAATGCTACAATAGACAATAGCAACAATAGAACTACATCAAGGTATAAAATCCTTTTTCCCTAGACCCTGTTGATACAACAGAAACCGTTACCAAAAAATAGTTAAAAATGCTACAATAGACAATAGCAACAATAGAACTACATCAAGGTATAAAATCCTTTTTCCCTAGACCCTGTTGATACAACAGAAACCGTTACCAAAAAATAGTTAAAAGTGCTACAATAGACAATAGCAACAATAGAACTACCTCAGGCTATAAAATCCTTTTTCCCTAGACCCTGTTGATACAACAGAAACCGTTACCAAAAAATAGTTAAAAATGCTACAATAGACAATAGCAACAATAGAACTACATCAAGGTATAAAATCCTTTTTCCCTAGACCCTGTTGATACAACAGAAACCGTTACCAAAAAATGTTAAAAATGCTACAATAGACAATAGCAACAATAGAACTACCTCAGGCTATAAAATCCTTTTTCCCTAGACCCTGTTGATACAACAGAAACCGTTACCAAAAAATAGTTAAAAATGCTACAATAGACAATAGCAACAATAGAACTACATCAAGGTATAAAATCCTTTTTCCCTAGACCCTGTTGATACAACAGAAACCGTTACCAAAAAATAGTTAAAAATGCTACAATAAACAATAGCAACAATAGAACTACATCAAGGTATAAAATACTTTTTCCCTAGACCCAGTTGATACAACAGAAACCGTTACCAAAAAATAGTTAAAAATGCTACAATAAACAATAGCAACAATCGAACTACGGTAGGCTATAAATTTTTACTTTCTCAAATATACGAAGTATAATGAAAGTATTGTAATCGTGCAAAAAAAAATAGAGATTTTTACAAATCTCGACGTTTTACACCTCACTGATACGGAAAAACATAATTTTGCAATCTTGTCCGTATGTCTGTGTGCGTGTCTCTCTGTCTGTGTATAAACACGATTACTTGAGTACCGTTACAGCTAGGTTGATGAAATTTCATATAAAGGTATTTTATCAAAATCGTAGATCCGTATCAACTTTTGAGCGATTTCCGACAACCGGAAGTGGTACTTTTTCTACTTTGAATTTTTCAAAAGCCTATAACTTGAGTACTATTTCAGATAGATAAATAAAATTTCAAATGTAAGTAAAAAATCTAATTCTCTACCTTCTATCAAATTTTGAGTAATTTCCGTTAACCGGAAGTACTAATTTACGCTATTTCCGATTTCTCAAAAAACGCATGTAAATTTATAAAGAACTAATAATATTGCGCACTATTATGCGCTTTTTGCTTTGGCGTTCACTTGGTGCGCAATTCTTTTTTCTACTAGATTTTATTCTATTTTTAAAAGTTTAAGTAAACAAAAATCATGTCTATATTCCGAGTTGCCATCCTACGTAGTGTTATATTAGAATACTAGCCGTCCCGGCCAGGCCCTGCTCTGGCTTCTGTGAAAAACCCTTCTGTTAAAGACCATCACCTGTGTGTTTAGTAATCATCATAAACCCGGCATTGCCCACCCAAACCACAACCAACCAAAACCAAAACAACAAAACGCAAACATAACGCTAACACAATTACAAATACAAACGAAAACAAAAACTTACAACAAACCAACCACAACCACAAACACCAATACGAACACAAAGAAAAAAGCAAACGAAAACAAACCAAATCCAAACACAAAACCAACCACAAACACAAACCCAAAGAAAAAAACAAACGAAAAAGCAAACGAAAACAAACCAAATACAAACGCAAAACCAACCACAAACCCAAAGAAAAAAAACACAAAAGAAAAAACAAACGAAAACAAACCAAATCCAAACGCAAAACCAACCTCAAACACAAATACAAACACAAACCCAATGAAAATAAAACACAAACGAAAACGAAAAAAGAAAGAACAAAAACGAACCAAATCAAAACGCAACCACTAACGCAAACCCAACCTAAACACAAAGAAAACACTAACGCGAATATAAACGCAAAGTGCTCACGGGGCTGAATCGCCTACTTCAGCTTAATAAACGACTATAGTACCCCAACTTATTCATAGTCTTTTGCACTCACTTTAATGAACGTAGGCGCGAAACCGAACACGGGAGGCCCGGGACCCCAAAAAGCACCCTGTCTGGGCGCCAAAGGACGCACCATGACGTCACCGCCTGATTGAACTTAGTAAACGCCTATAGTGCATAACTTATTTATAGTCTTTTGAACTCACGCGAACATAGATACCATAGCGTACACCGGAAGGCCCGGGGCGCCAAATAGCACCCTGTCGGGGTGCCGGAGGACGCCCGGATTTGATTCACTTAAAGACTATAGTAACCTTTCTTATCCATAGTCTATCGCACTGTTTAAAACAAAATTATGCAGCATAGCGCTCACATGATAGCCCAGGGTGCCAAATCGAACCGTGCAGGGGCGCCGGCGGACGCGCCTGTTTCAATTTAGTGAACAAAAATGATAATACTCCAAGCTTATCCGTAAATGGAAAGAAATAAACGTATATGATTTGTAGGACCTGGCTTATTAAATGTTATTGATTTTAAAAAAAAATAATAATTATTGAACAGTATGTTCAGTGTATAGAATAAATAAAAGGCAGTGTTAAAAATACCTAACGACATTGCACTTAATCAATCCCCGCTAATTATGTAATTATTTTTTTTTCTTAACACCAAAAACAAAGTAATAAAATGTAAATTCTTTCTTCTTAAGAATTTTTTTTATTAAAGGGAAGTAACTGTGCAGTCAATACATTTCCGACACAATTTTAGAAATTTTATAAACGTCGATACACTTTTTAAAAATTTTATGTCGCGTTCATAATTGAAAATTATTCTTCTAAGTAAATAGAATGAAAATTGTTTTTAAAGACTTTCAGTGGTAATTTTTCGACTCGTAAATTTAGACTTTGAGCACGATAAAAAATCTAACACTTAAATCCGTAGAAGTGTCAACGACAAACTTTTTTGTTTTTTGCCACACGTTACAGAACTGAGCTTTATATATTAGATTCGAGAAAGTTTAGGGGAGATCACTCCCGGTTTATTTTTTTTTCCCTAGACCCTGATGATTCAACAGAAATTGTTACCAAAAAAATAATTAAAAGTGCTACAATAACAGAACTACATAACGCTACAAAACCTGTTGTTACTAAACATTCTGATACGCTAAATAAAATTGTAATTAGACGTTTTGTATTAGATCCATGTAAAAGTAAACCATCTTAATGAATGAAAGTAGGCTACATGTAAGAAAGAAGTATTTCTTTAGTAAATCTGTATCAGTCCTCACAAGCCGATGATGAAAACTGTAATACTAAAGCGAACACGCAAGGCAAACTGACGCTGTAAATTTCATGTCTGAGGCGGAAAAAAAATTCTGTTACGCTGAAATTAACAAAAACTTTAAAGTGCTACAGATAGAAAAAAACAAACACTTAAAGCTGTTACAACATAGACAAATGTTCTATTAAAGTTTTAAAAAATGCAACGAAAGATACTAGAAAAACATATAAATGTACAATAGTCAACAAATACTTTCTTCACAATAAATAAATACAAAACTGAACACGCTGAATCACCACAATCCAACAGTTAATCTAATGATCCACAGATAATCTAACATCAGCTTTAAAAGTGCTGGAGCAGACATACATCAAGACAGAAAATAGCTGTAAGGTGCAACATCAGGCTTAACAATCTGACACACTCACCCCTACCCTCTCTACGTGACGTACTGATAGAACAATGTAACTTTCTCGATACAGTCGGTATAGAAGACCTCACCGACTATAGCAAAAGCGGTAAAATAGATACTTTACAAATTCGAATACCTAAGGAAGTACAATACCTGAAGTCAAATTTCTATAATAGCTTATCGATACAACACCAGTATCGATTAAGCTGGTACTTTGTCAGAAAAAGAAATCGAATACGACAGACAATCTATATATAGAAATGAAAATGATACAATAAATATCGTATCGTCTCAGAGTCCACCTAGCTCTTTTGGGTACCTGGCTCATGTTAGGGATACCAAGGCGGGTGGACTTAGTACTGACCACACTATTCCCATGTATGCCGAGGTCATTAAAATAGATAAACTCTACTTCATCTGCCCGTGTGTCTCGGTCACTAACATGAAAAGCTGAGGATGAGAAATGTTGTACTGCAACAATAGTGATAAAAGCGTTCTCTTGACTAAGCAATAAACGGGATATATTTTAACAAAAAATTTAGTCACAGTAAAGGCCATTTGTTGAATTTATAAAGTGATAAAAGCGTTCTCTTGACTAAGCAATAAACGGGATATATTTTAACAAAAAATTTAGTCGCAGTAAAGGCCATTTGTTGAATGTATATAAAACGGGATGGACTCAAAAGGATTTTATAAATTTTGTCTCGTTTTTCAGGGGGGCGGACACTGGTAAGAGGGGAGGGACATAACCAGACCCCCCCCCCCCCCCGAAGAGATGCCTGGAAGAAAATCTAACGATAAAAATAGTGTAGTGTCTAATTTCAACGCTATTGTTTTAGCACTGAGTACACACAGTCGGAATAAGTAGAAATCTATAACAGATTACCGAAAGAAAACAAGTAATTATAGCTTTATAAATCAGTACAGAGAGAATAATTAGAACTTTAAAGTGACGATAGGCACAAACGTATACATATTAAATGTAGAAACCTGATGATTTAACAGACTAATTTCAAGGTATGTTGATTCATTCACTCTATTTTGGTGTTAATATAGCATAGAAAATGGATTATAAAGATGGCAAAGAGGTATATAAAAATTACACCAATCCATTCGTCTCTCATATCCTTTTTTTTTAAGGCATTCTATAGATTTCCGGGTTTATCACTTTGCCAGTGATGTGTGATAAGTTTTCAAAATTATTTAAGCAGAACCACCACTATGTTTGTAAGTAATATCGTGTGGTCAGAAGTTTGTATAAAAGCATCAGAGGAGGGGGGGGTTAAAAGGATGGAAGTTAGAACCTTCTTTTAGAAGCAGAAAATAATCCTTTTACCCATTTTCGGTCATTTCCTATACATAATAAAAACAACCGCCAATATGAAATATTTTGTTAACGTTATTACGCGGAGGGGGGGGGGGGACACACTATTTTGTTTATTTACCGAAATTTTTAAATACAACAAATTCACCAAATCTTAAGAAGTACTATAACAGAACATAAAAAATCAATAAGTTTTTACTGTCGTATATGTTTATAACACACTATGTAATATTTTTTTTAAATTAAAAACTTTTGTTTTAAGCATTACGGGCCGATGTCATTTAAATAGCCTTTGTGATATAAAAAGTCTCAGGGACGTGGCGGATAATGCTCCACCAATCAAACGTATCGATCCACTAGGTGGAAAAAAACTGAAATCGGGTTAGACATTAAACCAAGACGAGGGGTTAAAAGTAGAATATCCTCATTAGACCTGATGACCCATTGGGCAGATGAAGTAGAGTTCATATGTTTCATGACCTATGCATATAGAGTGTAGGTGTGGTCAGCACATTGCCTTTACTTTCCCTAACATGAGTTAGGTACAAGTCAAAGCTGCGTGGACTCTTGAATGAGCCACTGACTTGAACTCGGATTTGAACTCGAGATTTCCGTAATAGCAGCCGAGTGCTCTACCATTTAGGCCACGCCAATGGTAGCATCTATTCATATATTTATAAACAAACTGTTTTCAAACGGAATATAATTGCACTATCTCGAAGACACTCAGAAATTATTTTAGGTAATTAGGAGATAATTAGAGTAATTACATGGTTTTATAACTGTTGGTTGTCAGACTCGCCGGTGCAAGTGTACGCTGTAATGGTGTTTTGACTGACGGCACTGATTGAGCTTGTTAATTAGACGAACCTGCCAAGTCTGCGCGAGTTAGTGCTCTAGTTCAAGGTCTGTGACGTCACGTATGTGTGAAGATAAGCTACAAATGCAACAACATCGGTCTAGTTGGTTCTACAACGACATTGGTCTAGTTGGTACTACAACGACATCGGTCTAGTTGGTTCTACAACGACATTGGTCTAGTTGGTACTACAACAACATCGGTCTAGTTGGTTCTACAACAACATCGGTCTAGTTGGTTCTACAACGACATCGGTCTAGTTGGTTCTACAACAACATATGTCTAGTTGGTACCACAGAAGCTAGGTCTAGGTTATACCAAACACAACAAAATTACAACAAAATTGGCCTAGTTTGTACCACTTTAAATAAAACAAGCTAGGCCTAGGTTGTACCAAATACAAAAAGCTACGCCTTTTTTGTACTACTTTATTTATATATACAACAAGCTATGCCTAATTGTACTACTTCATATTCGACAAGATAGGTCTAGGTTGTACTACTTCAAATACAATAAGCTGTGATAGATTTTACTACTTGAAACACAACAAGCTAGGCCTAGATTGTACCAAATGCAACAAGCTAGGCCTAGGCTATACTACTACAAATACAATAAGCTAGGCCTAGGTTGTGTAAGCGTTGTAACTTGTGTAAGCGGGGCTGTTTTCTTAGGGTGTGAGGCCATAGTTGAAAAACTGTGATTCAGTGGAGCCGCACTCAGCTTTCTAATGAATGATTTCTTTTGTTGTAACTAAGTATGAAAATATTGCCTCATTTGTTGTTGCATGAAATAGGAATACTTCATTTTATCTCTTATTTTATAATAACATGGGAGAGTTTGAGGAAACGGAATATGTATATGTGGTCAGCATTATTTACAGTAGCCTTTACCTCTAGTGTGGTCAGCATTATTAACAGTCACCCCACGTTATTTTCCCATCAGAGCTGTGCGAATGCAGGGACGTGCTGGCAGACTGGAGTCCGGATTGAGATCCGAACTCAACCGTTTGGAATCAGCACTCGAGAGTTCTACCACCCGACCACGTCTTTCTTTGACGAATGTAATGGAATGCTACGAATACTTTTAGCAAACAACATTACTCCCTATAGGGTATGAGTAACCTTTTAATGAAATATGGTTGGTGTAAATGGTGCTCTAAACAAACTACTGTATTTTCCTATGGACCAGCTGTTCAATAAAATTTTGTTAAGTCTCCATTAGCAGGTTAAAAGAAAAATAATTTGTTTTTGTACTGAAGGCGTTGTTATATGCTTTTTAAAACTCCACATTTTGGGGGGGGGGGGGGGGGTTACTTACAGTGGGTTTAGCAGCGATTTTGAAATAATTGAATAAAATGTTTGAAGCACTAAAATAGAAATCCTAACGATCAGTCGTCAAAGAAGAATTGTAAAAAATAAACAGATGAAAAAGTGTGATACGTGCTTTAAGTCAAATTTCAAATTTTTAGAAACAGGTTTGTAGCTTGGATAAAGTAAGCCATGTTCTCAAATATCAGTCCGTGGTCTCAGAAAATTGTGCGAATCCACACACATCATTTACGTGTAGTTTTATCACTGTAAGGATCGAATTTCATCGATTTCAGGCAGAAATAAATGTTACCAAATGTTTATTATAAAATATAAAGCAAATATTACCACGATTCGCTGAATTTTCAATAAGTAAGTTTCCTGTCTACATTGTAAACAATGTGTTAAATTTACTTTTAAGTAGATTAAAACTAGCTTAGAATTTTGTAATTATGAATTGTTTTTTTAGGTGTGTGAGTGAGTGTGTGAGTGAGTGTGTGGGTGTGGGGGGGGGGGTACTGACTTTTCATATTCGTACCACTGTAACAGCGTTATTACTGTGTTACTAGAAGGTTGGCAATCAAAATGTTTTGTTTAGGGTTTCGCCATTCGATGCAAGTGTGCGCTATAAGTTAATATACTCAGAAACACGTAGAAACATTATTTAGAGTTGCTGGATTGCTTACAGACGATTGTAAACACCAAATATGCTTTTCTGTTTGTGGACATACATTTGTACATTTCTTTGCTATTATTATTATTCACAAATGGACATTAGTGAGTTGATGAGAATCTTTCCATAATTTTTGTTGAGAACTTGAAATTAATTGTTTGCGTTTAAGGATACATTTCTATTTATTTTCATCGAGCCTAAATTATAACTTGTAAGTTTCACTTTTGTAAGACAAACATTGATTGGCTGTACAGTAACTCCAGTTTGGAGGAATTTTTAGGCAAAACTTTGCCGATAAAATTTTAAAATTAAATTATACTTTCTTAAACCATGTGGCCCTGTTAAGCCATGTTTATGTAAATTTTCGGTGACAAAATGTAAACAAACACATTGTTTTTGCCAATTAAAAAAGAATTTAGTTAATTAACGAAATTACTAAATACATCAAATACATCATATCTTTAGTAAAGCCGTACAACAAAACTGTCAGATTGTTATAAACATATTTATTTAAATAACAATGTAGATGAATTTTATTATAAACGTATGTATTGACGCACATACATTCAGAAACTCTTCCAGAAAAATCCCCCGAAAATATCTCTAATCCTCTTTACCATCTTTATTAGCTAAACTAATCTAAAATCTCCTTTAGTAAACCGCTACCCACCTTCCCCCTTCGTTAATTAACATTTATGATTACCGAATCGACCGATCAGCTAATTTTCAGATAACTTTCCACAACAGGCGAACAGGCTCTGCGCCATGTAAGATAACCCATCTGAAACCGTACACTAACTCTGCCTAATTTTTTTTTTATAATTATCTCCCGGCGAAGAAAAAAAAATCCCCGTCTGAAAACCGTTGCTTGAAAACTAAGGTGAAACCTGAGTTCAATACGCACACGCTTCGAGCAAACGTAGTCTATTTTTAGACACAGACGCCTCGGATTATAGATAGAACAAACAGGTTACTTCCTGTCTAGCCCACTCATTACGTAGACAAACCGCACGTGGCTAGTGGCAACCATTTTTCTTTACTACCAAACACCAACCGGTACACTCCAGTAGGAACAGTACCTACTCGGCCTAAAGAGTATGGTCAAGCCAAATTTAACCGCTTTTGTTTAGTTTTAGAGGCTGTGAATCATCTGACCTAGTTATACTTTTGACCTACATATTAAAAAGTTTAAAAAGGTATGGTAGTTAAAAATCTAGTATGAGAAAAAATAACCAACAATAAGATATGCACTCTTACTCATACTGATATAACTTGTTAACTTATAATTACTGGAAATAATTAATTATGAATAAAAAGAAAACAGCCAAAGTTAATAAAATTATTTACTTATCATGTTAAGACGAAGCAGACGCTGCTCAGCACATCCGTTGTTTATTTAGAGAAATAAATACACACGTCGAACACGGAAGGATGAGTAAATCCAAACAGAACTCACGCTTTAAAACCGGGCAGAGAATTTAATCCTACACCGCGATACTGGTTGGGCCTAGATCTAGAACAAACAAAGCTATCGTGAAATAAACGGTTGGAGTTTTAGAACGAGGCTAAATACTCACTCCGACTGATGCAACGGTCGGTTCGGTACCAATCGCCTCCACTTCTATTCTATCGCGTACCTAACAATGGAGAGGCAGGCTCGACTTTGTTAGAATCTATTTTTGAAAAAAAAAAAATTGTGAGAATGAATGGTGGTAATGGGAAAAAAAGGGGGTAAAGGGGGATTACAAGTAAAGTTGGTACCGGAACGTAACAAGGCATGGCTCTTGGCTACCCCCAGGGGCGTGGAATCGCTTATCAGGTGGAGGGTTGGTAGATGTACATTGTGGTCGTGTTCTCCAGCCCTTCGATATTTATTTTGTTTCGCTGCCTGACATTTCGGTACAGTGGGTTACATTTTGTCGTGTGAAAGTTTTGAAATGTCTCGCTATTTATAGACTCGGAATGGAACTCTTCTTTGGGTAAAGAATTGTTTGGGATATTATGTTTTTATTTATTCGGCAAACAATTCCCGTATACTGACAGCCATATGTTAGGTATCCTCCCCTTGTTCGTTTAGCAGTGGTGGGCGGGCACAGAGTTACCTGTGTGCTTTAGAGTTCTCGCCCCTGCCTGTCTGTGGGAACACCACGCGCCCGTCTTGTTTTATTTTTAAACTTACCGTCCTGTGCAGGTGAGCCGTCTGTGAGCAGGGGTGATGGAAGGGGCGCGGGGGTGGGGGTGTGAGCAGGCACGAGTGGGGGGGGTAGTGTCAAACCTGTAGTAGCAATTAACGTTAATGTGTGCCCCAGTGTACAGGGTATTTTATCGCGTGTAGTCTAAATGGGGTGGTTGGCGTGTGCACACCTATTGTTTTACCACGGGTGTGCATGTCATTTATGTGTACATGCATCGTCTATGTGAGTTATACGTCTCATCTGTGTACATTTAACATGTCATTTTTGCTGGATAAATATGTGGTCGATGTACACTAACATGTCATTTATTCTGATTTATTATGTGATCTGTGTACATTTAACATGATATCTACACTGACTGATTTTCTTATATGTAGATTATACGTGTGTATTACATACGTTACTGTCATAATGTCATCTATATTCTTCTTCTGCGTTCTTAATTTTAATATTAAAGTAATATCCGCCAAACAATTATTGAATGGTACCAAACTCATCTCAACAATAACGGATGTAAAATGTATCTTCCTTTTTTGTATGTTTTTTGCACTAGTATGAATGGAGCCCGTATACTGTTGCCTTGTCTGCCCAGAGTGAACTCAGTTATTATTACTATTGTTACATCGATATTGTACTTAAGTATTGCTAATCATCTCATCATCTTTTTTTCCGTTAGTGCCCAACACTCATGAGACAGATAAAATAGAGTTCATCTATTTAAATGACCTCGGCATACAAGGGGATAGTGTGGTCAGCATATTGCCAGCCGCATTTGTTTCCCTAACGTGAGTCAGGTACTTATCAGAGCTAGATGGATTTAAGGATGTCCTACAGATATGCGAACTCGAACCTTTTGGGTTAGCAGTCAAAAACTGCCATTGACCATGCCCTCCCATAAATTATTGCCAATAAAATAACTCTATTCTAATTCGCATTAAAAAAAAAACTGATATTTTTATTTCTTTTTAAATTAAGCTAAAAATGATATCTTTAATGTATTTTAAGAAGAGCAGTAAAAATAAGATTCTGGTTTCTGTCGATGTGATTTAGTGGGAGAATTAATTAAATTTAGTTATTATTTTCTGCCTGTCGTCATTAAAAAACAATACTTATCCAGAGTTATTTTTTGTCTGGTGACACTTGGCGAGCCATATGAAAGTTTTTACAAAGGGTAAGTTTTAAGTTAATGTTGGGCGCCTAATTGAAAACGTATGGACCTACAGTCGACATCAGGGTTTCTTTCAGACATCTCTTCGGGCAGAGCCCCCCCCCCCCCCCCGAAGAATGTCTACCGCCCACCCCCACCCCCTACCAAACAAAATAGAATTTATATTTAAAAAAATATATACTTTAACCAGTGTCCCTCCCCAACCCCCGGAGAAAAAAGTCTGAAAGAAACACTGGTTGACATGAATGTATTATCCCATTTAGACTCATCTTCAGACATTGATCCATTTAAACTACAGATTTTTCAATTATTTTTGGAAGCAACGAATTTTGAAAAAAAAAACTACCTTCCCAAAATCAGACTGTTAACAAACCGTTTTGTTATTTTTAACTTTTTAACTCGCGATGTTTTCAACGTTCTGTTTGAAAAAAAAAAACCGTGTTGTGACGTGTTGAGTAATCAGGAACTGAGTCACGTGACTTGGAAAACTTGCTGACTCCGTTCTACGTATCAATCATACTCAAATGTCAACCAGCCTTCTTCCCTTGCAACGAAAACCTTTTTATTCTTATTTTTCCTACAGAATTGTTTGATGTTGATTTTTTTTTTTCACTTTCTGTTTTCTTCTTCTATCTTATCTCACGCGAAACAATAGACATAAGATGCACTCTAGGCAAGATAGAAATTATACTGAGAAAAAAAAACTTGTCTGTTGAAGTGAATCCCTCATGCTGATTAGGCTGGGAAGAGAAAACTGTAAAATTAAACAACTTCTGCCTTGTTGTTTGTTCTTGGATGGACACAGAGGCGTAGCGACGGATTCCAGCGCCCGGGGCGGACTATACATTTTTGCGCCCCTCCCTGCCATTCTATTTATAGTTATTCCTGTCATTGGAAAAGCGCCCACCTTTTGACCCCCCCCCCCCCTCTAACCCAAAGTAAATAAATTGGAAAGGTTTGTGTAGCTTCTTACCAGTTACTATCCCATTATATTTTCTATTTCGGTGCCACAAAATTGATACAGAAAACAGTTCAATGAATGTGAAAAGCCTTGAAGTCGTTTATTTTCGTAACTTTGACGATATATAATTTAATACTTCAGCTTAAAATGAGCTTTTAAATTAATTTTTCTACCCTTTTGGCGCCCCCTTAGCGGCCGCCCCACCCGCCCTCCCCTAGCTACGCCACTGGATGGACAAACACCTTGGAAGGAAATCCAGAAAAAGCAGGCTGAAATCGGAGCCAGCGGTCTATATTGCCCATAAAAAGTTGACACGTTATACTTAATTGTGTTGGAGGAAATTCCTTCCAACTTAATTATTAAGAGCGAAGAAGAAGATGTAAATGCTACATAACAGCGATTTGCTAAATGGCTGATATCTCCTCCCCCCCCCCCTCCCCTCCCCACATAACCTTCACATTAATTACACATTGTATTTAACTATATAACAACGTCCAGTAAAATGAAGTATGACATTACCCCCTATAATTGACCAGAAAATTAAACATAATCTAATCAAAAGATAGTGCTTGGACTATGGTTAGATGTAGGAAATTTACAGGGGAAGGGGGGAAGGGGTGGAGCAATAAGCTAATTCCCTAGCAAGATATACGTTAAAATGTTTATTTCACAACCGGTAATACGTATAGGGCCTACGTATTTTCAAGAGGGGGTAATTACCACGGGAGGATAAGAGGGGACTAATTTATCTGTGGGAAGGGGGTAAAGGTTAGGTGGTGATTGACGGGGGACATATGTTGGAAAAATAAATTGAAAGCTTGAGGGGGGTGCAAATCGAAATTTTGAGGGGGGGGGTGCAAATCGAAAGTTTGAGCGGGGGGGGGGGGTGCAAATCGAAATCTTCAGAGGGGGGTGCAAATCGAAAGTTTGTCCCCGGGAGGGGTCGTTACGCCTCTGCACCCTACATAGCCTTACCTCTTTAATTAGACTTTCTTTCAAATTTTTTTTTCACAATACGCGAACTTATTTTGTTGATAATTTTTTTAGTAAACTTTAAATAGGCTTAATTACCACTGAGTCGTCCGTTTATGTTGGTTGTCACGGACGTTTGGTTTCATCGGGTTCATGACCCCTGTTTTATTGATCGCTCAGATTAATTAGATTAGCCTCAAAAATACCGTGAGTTAATTGACAGTTTTTGTTTCATTTGAAATTTTTTTTCTTTATAGTTATATAAATAGTGGGCATAGTGCTGACCACACTATCTCTTCATATGCCGAGGTCACAGAAACAAGTGAACTCTACTTCACTTGCCCCATAGACCGTTAGGTTTGAAAGGGAATCTTTACTTACTCTTTATATAAATAGTAGTGTATTATATTACTATATATTTAAAGAAACTGATTTATTTTCTACTTTTTAGTGCATTAGTACATAAAAGCTTGTTATTAAAACGTTTTTTTATGAATTTTAAAAATCTATGTTTAATTATTTGAAATTTTTTAAATAGAGTACAATCACGTAGAAAAAAGAATTGCGTACAAATTGAACAGCAAATAATGTGTGTATAATAATGCGGAATATTAGTACATGAAATCAGAGTTTCTTCCAGGCATCTCTTCGGGGGGGCGAAGCCCCCCCCCCCCCCCCGAAAATTTTTTACCGCCCCCCCCCCCCCCCGAACGAAATGAAATTTATATAATTTATATAGAAAATATATACTTTTAACAGTGTCGGCCCCCCCGAAGAAAGTTTACCGCCCCCCCCCCCGAAGATTTCAAGTGCCCCCCGGGAGAAAAAAGTCTGGAAGAAACACTGCATGAAATCCGTTTTTGAGAAATCGCAAATAAGCGTGAAGCACTACTTCTGGTCAACGGAAATTTGAAAGAAGGCTGAAAATTTGATCTTTTACTTATACGTGAAATTTCGTTTATCTTTCTGAAACAGTACTCAGCTTAGGGGGTCATCCATAAATGACGTCACGCTTTTTTTGGACGATTTTTACCTCCCCCCTCCCCTCCGTCACACATTGTAGCAAAAGGCCGGACCCCCCCCCTAAAAAGACGTCACACCTAAGCCTACGACCCCCCCCCCCCTCAAAATTGCAGTTGAATTTTTCTTAAAACATCGATATTTTTCCAAAATCTTGTATAAACTCTGTCAAAATAGAGTATTTTAATCAGTTCCTATTTCAATTGATTAAAACAGTTTTCTTAAACGCGAAATAACGTTTAAAATTTACGGACCCCCCCCCCCCCCTGTGAGTGTGACGTCATTTATGGACGACCTCCTTATAGGCTTTTGAAAAACCAAAAGTAGAGTAAGTTCCACTTCCGGTTACCGGAGATCGCTGAAAAGTTGATACAGAACTACAAATTTGATACAATACTTATTTATGAAATTTCATCAACCTAGCTGTAACGGTACAAGTTATAATGTTCACAGACATACACACACACACAGAAAATTGCAAAAAAAAATGTATTTCCGACTCATGGAGGTGTAAAACGTCGAAATTTGGGAACATCTCGATTTTTTTGATCGATTGGAATACTACATTTATACTTTGTACTAATTGTACACGAAAAAATAAAGAGAAGCTGAATCAAAATAAAGAGGGGACACTATTTTAATAATGGTAGAAATCATGACTGACATAGTTAGTTCCCTTATTTATTTTGATTAAATTGAATTTTTTTTCTCCAAGCCCAAGGGAATTAAGCCAGACATAGAGAAGCTTCCAATGTAAACAAAGAGTCAATCTGTATTCAAATAATTAGCAAATTATTGCTTACATGAAATGCTTGTGATAAGCTTTATGGTGTTTTATACTTGAGGCCAGAGTGAATGGTGTTAAAACAAAAAAAATGTGTGTGTTGCTCATTTATTTAAGAAATTAAACATGTTTCAGATAATGCATTATTCTTTTAATAAAATGTTTGATTGTAACCAGAAAATATAATTTATAAATTAATCATCAAATTTACATTGGAACATTTTAATCTTACATATGTAACATGTCATATTTGCTATAGACAGACTAATATTTGGAAAGAAAAATTATTACAAAATTGCCAACAACTTCTATCTGTGCATCACATATCACATATTTTGCCAAAATGCACACCTTAACAAATCAGGTACACATTTACACTTAATGTTAATATGCTTTGTAATAAAAATGAGATGCAATATGAATTACAAAAATACATTCAAACATATTTTTAAATACATTTTTGACAAAAGCTTTATATACAAATCATATTTCATATTTTTAGTCACACTTTCACAATAAAATAAAAGAAACTACACACAAATATTACTTTTGCACAAAAAAATATCACAATTATTGTTGGTGCTTAATAAAATGCTGGCAGATCTAATAAAATGTGTGGTTTAAACAGTGTAATGATTGCCCAAATATATTTCAACAAAAATCATGACCAGTACAAAAAACATGGCTTAGAAAAACTTGATACTATATGTGTCATAATTTTTTTATCTTAACAAAAATATAAATCAAACCTTGACAGCCGTTTTACATCTATATTGCAAAATATATCAAATAATAATATATAAAATAATAATGTAACATCATCACTTTCATCAAATTGTGTAAGAAATATCTTGAGCTTTGGTTTGTCAACAGCTTTTTTCCCTGAATTAGCAGTCAGCAGTTGTCTCTCTTTGATTAGGTCTAACACTAGAATCTGGGGTCAGGAAGGCTCAGAAATAACAGCTTCATCCCAAGGTCCATAAATATTGCTGCAATACAGGAAAAAATGAATTAGTAGGAGTGTTTCAAATAACAGCATAAAATAACAACATAATACAAATGAATAGTATTACAATACCCCCAATTTTTTTTTCCATATATTAAAGAAGATATAACACCCTTTGAGATTTAATGTTCCTTATCCTCATACGGTAAAGTTTAACTGCATCTTCTACATTGGTATATAAAGTGATTGTCCATTTAAACTAAGCAACTTATACTTTTTAAGGAAACCAAAATAATGCAAGGTCTACCACACGCTTCTAATGATCCAAGATCCTAACTATTTGGGTAAAATATCTTTATCTAATGTTGAACACACTTTCCTTTTAAGTAAACCAAAATCATGCAGGCTAGTTATTGTGTACTCAACAACACCTCCCCATTGACCCCAATTTCCTAACTCTTTGGCTACAGGTACTTAACTTCTTTACCTAAGGTTAAACACAAACTTACTTTTTCTGTGGCTGTAGTGAGCAGAACCAGGCGGGAAAGATGAAAGTCACTAGAAAGATGATTAGTGTATACAGCACAGCCCCAACTATGGTCTTAGACCCTAAACCAATAATACAGATGACGGCCACAAACAGCGTCAGCCATGTGTGGACTCTGGGATGACTCACCTGAAAATGTTATATCAAGATATAATATATAGTAAAATAAAAATCTAAAATATGTAAAAATTATAGTTAATTATTTCCAGGTAGTGTCGCAAATTATAGAAAATTATGGTATGCTACAATTGTATTGGTAAAAATTTACTTTGATGTTTTGTCGTAGAACTGGCCACAAGGCAAAAAGTTGAAAAGATGTTGTCACTGTGGTGAAAGCATGCCAGGTTGTGTGGAGCCTTGATGCCAAACACACTGAAGCAAATATGGCAGCATTTAAAGACAATGCCCCTGGCACACTGTAAATAAATAGAAACTTTATAACATATTTCTGTACAATCATCATCATCTTTTAACATTCATGCCCAATCACATGGGACAGATAAACAAGAATTGATCTGTTTCAATAACCTTGGCATATAAAGGACTGTGTGGTCAGCACTATCCTCAACCACCCTTGTTTCCCAAACAAAAGTCAGGTACCCATCAGAGCTGGGTGGACTCAGGGACATGGTACCAACTAGAGCCTGGGATCCTACTCAACATTTTTGGGTTAGCAGTTGCAAGCTCAACTATCCGACCCCACTGTTCCCCATTTCTGCACAATTCACATTGTTAAACTATTTTTTTTTTAAATAAAGCCCTAAAGTTTGGCAAAGCCAGAAGTACTGAAATGAAATAAAAATACCCAGTACAATAGTATTCTCAAGTAAAAGTCTTCTGTGATGTTCTTCTTCTTCGTTCTTAATTTTAGTGTTCAAAGGGATCTCCCTCCAACACAATTAAGGATATGTGTCAACTGGTTAGCGCCATTGAGCCATTGACTCAGATTTCAGCCTGCTTTTCTTTTTGGATTTGCTTTCATAGCCTTTGTCCAACCAAGAACAAACTACAAGGCAGCAGATGTTTGATTTTGGAGTTATCTCTCTTAAAGAGTGGCTGTCCCCAGCTATCGAGCCTCATCTGCCCGAGGGTTCCAACTCAAGACTTTTCGTTTTAGCAACCTTGAGCTTTACCGACTTTACCTCTGTGATGTCAATTGTATACTGTAGCATGCAACTAACTGCACAGCTTACCTGTGGTTATTACAGTTGTAGTTGTAGAACAATAAATTAGCAAACAGCATGACAGTAGTCATAGCATAGATTGTGTCAGTGCTAATGGTCTCAGTGAGAGACACGAGCACTGGGGACAAGGTGGCGCTAAAGCCTTGAAACAGCAGACACGTCTTCAAGTGCTGTAAAACTGAGGAGAGGATGTTGATCATAGCATGCATTATGAAATTAATTTTTAATTAATTTTTAATTAGTCTAACTACTGCAACATGTACAACTTTTAGTTAATTTTTTTTTTAAATTCAGTATCATATTCATAACATAAACAGAATGCAGAATGTTGAAACTCAAGCACAATATTTATTTTTACTTTCGAAATGGGGTATTTTTAAATGGGTATCATCATTAACAAAATAAACCCCAATTCTAAACCTAGCCATCAATCAAATGTTAATATAAAGATTGAAATGGTCATACTTAGGACTTACAAGTAGCCACAGATAATGTCTGGCCTAGCCAGGTGGTCAGAACAACATTACAAATGTACCCAATGATAGTTAAAGCTGACATCATAAGCCACAAGATTTGAGCTGATATCGAATGATCCTCCATATAAAAGAACATTGTAATAAAAATCCCAATGCTGAAATTGCAATTAAATTTCGTTAGTTAATGAATGTTGTCAGCAGGCATCTGAACTCAGCTATAATATTGTATAATGACTCTTTAATGAGTGCCAATCCATAAGTCTCAAGTTTGGCCCTTGAGCTCATCCACAGGACACCCAAAGGGATTGTCCATAAATGACGTCTCACGTTTTAGAAAACGGTTTTAATAAATTGTAATAGGAATTGATCTAAATACTCTATGTTGACAGAGTTCTGACAAGATTTTGGAAAATTATCGATGTTTTAAGAAAAATTCAACAGCAATTTTTCAGGGGGGCTGTAGGCTGAGGTGTGATGTCATTATAGGCGGAGGGTCTGGCTTTTTGTGATGACATGTGACAAAGGGGAGGGGGGAGGTAAAAATCGACAAAAAAGCATGACATCATTAATGGATGACCCCAAAGGCCCACCCAGCTCCTATGACTAGCCTGCTTCACATGACTCAAGGAAAAGTAAGGATTTCTAGGCATTTAACTGACCGCATAATCCTTTCAAATGCTAAGCTCAAAGAAAAGGATTAACTCTACTTCATTTATCCCATAGAATGGCTATGGCTATTAAATGTTTTCATTTTCTATAATTATGGTTTGTTTAATACAGCGCATAACTGAAGATAAAAAGAGGCAAGTATTGAAAATAGAAATTCTTCCAAATGTAAAGATGGAGTTAAAACATGCCATTAAATCATAGAAGGCTTCTAAGAATTTAATGATATTCAACTATGCTATGAAAATATAAATAAATATAATTGAAGAATATTTTAAATTACAATTTTGTGACATTTTAAAAATTGAACAACAAAACTACAAATACAAAGCTACTTTTATTTAAGTAGGCCAATCATATCTCAGTTTTAAAATATCTGATAGCAATACCGCTACAAGCACAAAAATAATACAAAATCTAAAAACACATGTATTAACATAATAATGTAAATTATTTACCTGCTAATCTGTTGGGTAATACTTGTTGACTCAAACAGAAGAGTTGTGTAATCATAAGTGCAAACATGAACTAAAAAAATGTATATCCAAACAAAAAATGTATTAGGCCTAATGTGTTAAATCAAAAGCAAAAAATGGTTCAGTTAGTGCATAACTAATTTAATTAGATCTAAATGTTGATCATTTTTATTTACAACACATTTTATTTATAATAAATCTAGAATTCTAGATCTATATCCCAAACTGCCCAAAGCCCTAAACATTTTTAAATAATCATATATTAGCCTATAGGACTATAGGCCCTATATTATTAGGCAGGCAACACTACAAACAAAGTTTACAAACACAGTGTAAATGAAAATGTGACTGACTGAAATTTTTTTAGTAGGCCTACTCTATAAACTATTTAATTTAGTAGGCCTACAGAGTTTTTATCTTTTATTTAACTCTCCAAATACTAAATAGTAATAGGGTATTGTACAGTTTAGTTTGGGGCAGTTTACTGAGTTTAGAAAGCAGTTTAGTAAACAGTTTAGGTTTAGGGCCTATTTTTTTTTTTGCAATCTTTGGTCTCTGGCTTTGCTAGGGCCTATTGTTTATTTTATTCTTTTTTTGGGGGGGGGTGGGCTATCTCAATATTTCCGAACAGGACTGCGTAACGATGGAATTCAAGGAACATACGATTTTTCCTTAGCTCTTCCAAAAATGAACGATCAACATAATTATCAGGGTAATCCTGTTCTTCATACAAAATTTTTCGCCATGGACGCTTGGTAACCATTTTTAAGATCATGTGACTTGAAATTAGACGTCTATAATTTTCAGTAGTGAAGAGTGACGATTTTACAGTGACCGGGATTTACAAAAGTTTAAAACAAATGGCAGTGTTTTTTTAGCCACCTCTGTCTAAAATTAGATTCCTTGATCTGTTTTGATTAACCTAGAATCTATTTAAAATAGAATGGAAAAATCTAAATTGGGTAAGTAGATCTAAACTAAATGTGAAGTAGCCTACCTAGAGCTAGACTAAAAACTAAAAAGGCCTTAGCCGCGTAACTGTAACTTTGGCGTGGCGTAAAAATTAGTAAAAAGTTCAAACTAAAACTAAAAGACAAAAGATCTAGACTAGATCTAGATCTAGAATAATCTAGATCTAACTATACTTATACTAACAAGAATCTAGAGTAACCCTAACCCTAGAGTAGTATTTCTAGTTCTAGAACTAACTAAAACTAATAGTCTACTACCTAATACTAAATAAATATTAATATAGGCCTAATTAACTAATTAATAATTATAATGAAATATTGAATGAAGAAGAGATGAAGAGTGAGAGACCTATTTTAGTATTTTAATATTTATTATACGAAGTGACTACTCGGAAGAAGATTTTTCTCCCCAATGTCTCCACTTAGTCGGCAAAGGATAGCTCTGCGCATGCGCAGTGACCTATGGCTAGGGTTAGGGGTAGGATTAGGGATAGGATAAGGGTTGGTGTTATGGTTCTGCGGTTGTAAACACACGCATGCGCAGTACCATCGAAAACATCACAGTCACCGCGAAGGCAAGTCGTAGTTTCTCTCCATTGCGCATGCGTATCGCATGGGTATCTTATTCCGGCTAGCATCGGCCTTTATTATATATATAGATCTATATCTAGGCCTAGATCTATAATCTATATATAATATTATATATCACTTGACTTATCTGTATCTCCAGTGGAGTAACAGACATATCTGCACTTAACAAGATGGTATACAAGTCAGTATAAGTATAAGATTACACAAGGCAAAAAAATATGATAAATGATCGCTTATTTCCAGAGGTTTTCACTTATTTCTTTGTGACTTCTTGCATTATCTACCCTCTAACATTGAATATAATTATCTCTCATTTTGTGGTTATAATGTTATAAGCTTAACTCAACTCTACTATGTAAAAAAAAACCAAATGTAAACTTATATTCTTTGAGCCGTACTAATTTAATTCATTAAGTTAATAATTCTTTTAATTGCTTCTTTTTAGGTCCCACGAAATCAAAAAGTGGTGGAGATACAAAAGAATCAGATAAAAAGTCGACAAGGTCATTTTTTTCCCAATTACGTCACCTTGCTGTGGAAGTTGATAGCGGTGTCGAGTTTTTACAACAGGCACTTCAGAGTTCATCTCATAAAAATAAAAATGAACCGTCGTCTGAGGAGCACGCAGAAGCTGTTACGTTTCTTCTGCACACAAAAAAAGACATGGGTGTTATGATGCAGGCCATCAAAACCAAAAATGAAGAATTAAATCAAGAAAGAATGAAGTTAGTGAAAATTGGGGAGCTGATGAAAAATGTCCTGGACGCCCAGAAATCTCGATTTGAAGAAATTGAATCTTTTCTTGAAGACTACGGCTACACAAAACCAACAGATGACCCTTGTGAACAATGTGAAGTGAGTCCTGATAATGGTGCTAGTGAAGATGATGCTGGTAATTCTGCTGAGAAATTGCCTTCAACTCCGCTGCCCTCTGAGCAAAGACAGTCAGCTGAGCAAAGCAAACTAAAGACTCCAAAACTTGAGGATTATTACAGTAGTTTATCAGAGAGCACAATCTTCATCATTAAACATGGTGTCCCCTTTAATCAGGAAAGAGACATTACAGTCGCAGACTTTTCTCAAACTAAACACAATTTTGAGGAAACCAGAAGAGAAGAACCAAAAGAAATCTTCACCCCATACAATGTAAGACCAACTCCTGCAATGCCTGAAACACCTAAACTGTTGGCAACGCCTGGGTTTAAACTGAAGCCCTTAAGGGAAAATACTGCAGAACAAGATATTAACTCTGCCAGAGTGTTGTGTAAACCACAGACACCTGAACCTCCAACCCAGGATTTTACCAGCTACTTCTCCTACCAAACTAAGATGAAAGAAAACTTCATGCCCACTCCCCCATTAAATTTAGGCATGACTAGGCCTAAACTCTCTCCACCCAAGCCGCCCATGTCCAGTAAGAAAATATCTGACCATGTTTTGCCTCCTGAAAACCCTAAGCTGGTTGCTGCTGAGAGTAAAAATAAATTGTTGTCCACCCCAGAAGCACCCAAACTTCTCGGTAGTTGGGACGGTACTTACATGAGCTCTAGGTACGGCAAGTTGTGATGTGAATCAGTTGTTAACATGTAGGTTTTATGATGAATATTAAAAAGTTAATAAACTTGTAAAAGTTTATTTTTTTATTGTGCTTTTAGAAAAATGTATGTAATTACACATAAAATATATGTTACATATATAAATAAATATAGAAGTAGAAATCATTTGTTTCCGCAAATGACGATATATGAAAGGATTATGAAGTCAGTGTTATCCCCAGTCATTTTTACTTTCCATGGTCTGGTACACTTCACACCTTGTTGTGGTTAAAACACAGATCTAAATTTAAGATTCTTGGGTTCGCAAGCATGTACTCTTACACTGTTTGTTAATGCCATCCCATGTAATCAGTGTATAGTTTGTATGGTGCTAATCAGTTTGTAAGCTTCAAGTTGTAACAAAAACTGTTCAACTTCAGATGTATTTACTGTTATTGTTAAACATAACTAGATTCTACAACCATTTAATTTTTTACCTTCTGAGTCCCTCATCAGATTAAAAAAAATGCATTCACGATTAAGAGAAAGATACATTTTAACTAAAAACTAGACATGCAGGCGTCTTTTTGTTTATTTCAGTAAGGTATTAGTATTGTATTTTTTTATGTACCATGTATTTGTAAAGTTAATGAGATTGTAGTGTAACCAAATACTGAACATTGTCATTGTTGCTTTGATTAATGTTGTTGTGATGTTGTGTAGCACCAGTAGATAACTATTTGTATTAAAACAATTTGCTTGTTACTATCAGTGTGTAAATCTTTGTCATAAAAACTTTTAATAATAGCTTTTTGCTCAGTCAATAAGCATATCTTGTATCACATTATGCTGATTTTATTGTATGTAAAGCAAAGCATGCAATTCTGACTATTTGAAAAATTATTTAATTCCCATAATAATGATAATTGCCATCAATTTTTTATGAAGTGCCTGTCTAACCTTTTTTTTTTTTACAAATTTTCATTAAAAAATGTGTACTTAAATCTTGTCTTTTAACGGTAAAAAAACATTCTAAGATTGACAAGATATTTTTTAAAAACACATTATCCCCAAAAATCAGCCCGAAAGTACAAATACTTATACATGGCAAATATACAGTCACACATGTATTTTTATGTTAAGATTTGTTTTCTTCATCATCAGTACAGCATACCAAACTAAACTTTTTACTTTACATGTTATTGTGTTAAAGTTTACCCTTTGATCTAATAAATTGATTACAACCCTATAGTTCAGATTCTTGAGGTTTTAGAATGTCTATTAGTGCACTCAACTCTGATGGGTACCGTACCCAAATCAGAAGAAATAAAGTAGCTCGGCATTGTGCTAACCCAACCATCATTTCATCTGATGCATAGATTAACTCTACTTCATTTTCCAGATGTGCCATCTGGTCTGAAATGTAACTACTTCACTGCAATTTTTTTTCCATCACCTCATTTTAAGTCTCTCTATTTAATCTAAATCAGGGATATCACTTATGTCATTGCCACCATTCATAGGATTTGCTACAGTAAACATAGAAAGTAAACAACCATACACTACTTAACATGGGTCATTACAATTTATCTCTGTAAATAGCACTTTTTTACTTTCTCGTATACAGAGTATAGTGAAAGTATTGTAATCGTGCACAAAAATCACATGAAATTTTGAGTTTTCACCATTTTACTTCTCAGTACTTCCTCATATAAGGAGTATAGGGGACTTATTTTAATCAGGCAAAAATTCTAAATCCCAATTTTTCAAAATTTCCACGCTTTACGCGTAATCGAGACGGAAAAACTGAACTCTGCAGACTATGCAATTCTGTCCTTGTGTGTGTATGTTTGTAAACAGGATAACTTGAGTACCATTACAGCTAGGTAGATGAAATTTCATATATAAGTTATATAAAATTTGTAGTTCTGTATCAACTTTTCAGCGATTTCCGATAACCGGAAGTGGGACTTGTTCTACTTTTAGTTTTTCAAAAGCCTGTTTCAGATAGATAAATGAAATTTCACATATAAGAAAAAGATCTAATTTTTTCTACCTCCTGTCAAACTTTGAGTAATTTCCGTTGACCGGAAGTAGTAATTTACGCTTTTTGCGATATTTCTAAAAAAAAAATGAATTTATAAAGTACTAATAATATTGTGCACTATTATTCACAGATTGTTTGGCGTTCACTTGGTGCGCAATTCTTTTTTTCGATGAGAGTCTATTCTATTTTAAGAAGTTCAAGTAATTAAAAATGGATTAAAAACCATGTCTATAACCTGAGTTCCCATCTCCCGCAGTGCTATATAAGAATATTCGAGAAAGTTTAGGGGAGATCACTCCCGGTTTATTTTTTCCTGTAACTTTTCAAGTGTTGAGTACATTTTTGTATTCCTTGTCATATTACTCCATGTCAATTTAATTTTTGCTACTCTTATTATAATAATTATGGTAAGCAAAGAGTGAAAATGTATATCAACGGTAGCAGTTTATGAATCTTTATCTTAGAATAAATAAAACTTGTAAATGAATATCTTGGTTGTTATTGTTCTTTGTATTACCAACACTTTAATATTTGTTTCATTTTTTAAAATAATTTTAAACAATGTTGTGGGTCCATTTAAGTTAAAATTAGGAATGCATTGACTATCCCATAATATATTGTTTTCTTTCCATGATGGATTTTTCACAATTGTTAGACCTTTAGCAATCTGAACCTCAAAGTTTCTACCCAAAAGAATTATGTTTATACTAATATTACAAAAGGAGAAATATATTTTAATACATGATATATAGGCCTATAGAGTATATGGAATGAGTTTAGAAATTGTTGATCTAGAAGTCAATAGCTGCATAATTAAGGGGTCGTCCATAAATGACGTCACACTCACATGTGGGAGGGGGGTCCGTAATTTTGTGACGATGTGGAAGGGGGGGGGGGGGTTCAGATGGTGCTACGTCACACTTTTGCATTATAAAAAAGCAATGTTAGAAAACGAATTTTAGACGTTATTTCGCGTTTTAGAAAACTGATTTAATAAATTGAAATGGGAATTGATTAAAATACTCTATTTTGACAGAGTTCAGCAGAAAAACTTCAACTGCAATTTTGAGGGGGATTGTAGGCTGAGGTGTGACGTCATTTTAGGGGGGTCTGGCTTTTTGTGACCATGTGTGACGGAGAGGAGGGGGGGGGGGTAAACATCGTCCAAAAAAGCGTGACGTCATTTATGGATGACCCCTACGAGCTGTATTTCAGATGTGATAAAAGACCTAGATCTATGCACATTCACCATCTAATTGAAAAACAAAACCATTCTTATCGTATTGTATCCAATACCTCAAATTTGTATGCAAAAAAAAAAAAAAAAATTCTGTTGATAAGAGTGGTTTAGGAATTAATATACGGTGTAAACGTCTTTGGGTATGTTGATTACCGTTTTTGTGTGAGGGGGGGGGCATCCAAATACGATGTCACGTTATTTCAACGAGAGTTACCTCTACTTCTCACCATCATCACAAGTCTACCTTGAGTGTGAGGGCATTTATGAACGACCCATGAAATAATTTTACAGGCCTTTAAACGCTAGGCAATATAGAACACACGGGTGTGTACATTTTTTAAATGAAGACGTTACACGCCAGGACCTAGCTCGCTGACTTTCTTGGAAAACACCGAACACGTTTATTTCAAGGACTTGCCCGGTCACATTTCAAGCTTGAACACACATTTGCATTCACTACGGCAGGGTCAGGGGACCGTGGAGTCAAAGCAGAGCCGGCGTTAGGGGGTGGCGAACGGGGCGGTCGCCATAGGCCCCGCGCTTGAAGGGGCCCCGCGCTTCAGCAATGTCATTGTTATCTGAATGAATTCGTAAACTTAAAAAAAGTGTTGCTGAATTCAATTGGAAAAAAAACTAAATGGTCGAATGCCGACGTTGTTGATTGTTATAACCGAGGCCACGGTTGATGTTGGTGAGTCCCACCTGAACTGGGACAGGCCGTAATTCGATACAAAAATAGTGTCACACCTCCCCTTTGTGTAGGGTACGGTCGCCTGGCATTTGACCTGAGCTGACTGGAGATGGCGGTCGAGAATTAGCCCACGACGTAAAGAGATACCCTATTGTATGCGGACCCATGAAGACGTCCTTTTAGTGAGCAGACGGGATGCCTGTAGTAGACAGTTAGTGACCTGATGAACTCTAGTCCTGATTTTCTTGTTGTAGATGTCGTATAATGTCGTATATGTACAGTGTTTCTTCCAGACTTTTTTCTCCGGGAAGGGGGAGGGGCACTTGAAATTTTCGAGGGGGGGGGGGCGGTAGATTTTCTTCGGGGGGGGGGGCGGACACTGTTAAAAGTATATATTTTCTATATAAATTATATAAATTTCATTTCGTTTTCGGGGGGGGGGGGGCTTGTCCCCCCCCCCCCCGAAGAGATGCCTGGAAGAAACTCTATATGTAGGCCGGTATAACAAAATTAACATTCAGTTGCGTGCAGAGGGGTGGGAGGAGGGCGACGAGGGGGGGGGGGGCGCCTTAGGATCTATATCAGGCGGCAATACACAGAGTGATTTATTATTACAAGCTTTTATTTAACTCACTTCCTCGTCAGTCGCCAGTCGTCAGTCGTCAGTCTAGACCGAAACGCAGGAGTGACAATTCGGAAACTTCTACTTGACCGATACGATTCACACTTGGCACGTGGGTCAAGACATGAAGACAATGCAATCTGAAACTAAATTTGACTTAATTGGATGCCTAATTAATTTTTTATGAATTAATTAAAATTTGGACCGAATCAATAGGCATGTCTATCCAACCACACCACACGCGTCATCACATTCAATAGCTGCGCCATCACCTTCAGTAGGCGCGCCATCACGTTCAATAGACGCGCAATGGTTTTTAGTCATGTAACACTATTGTAAATAAAACATGTAAAGTACTAAAAAAAAAATTCATAAAAAACGTTTTAATAACAAGCTTTTATGTAATGATGCACTAAAAAGTAGAAAATAAATTATACACTACTATTTAAATAACTATAAAGAAAAGCGTGTGTCTCTTCTCGAATATTAGTAAAGGTATCCAATAGGCCTAGGTACTAAAGTGACCCACGCTTTTCTTTATAGTTATTTAAATAGTAGTGTATAATTTATTTTCTACTTTTTAGTGCATCATTACATAAAAGCTTGTTATTAAAACGTTTTTTATGAATTTTTTTTATTTTTTGGAAGAAAGTTAAAACTGTTGTTATGTTGTGTCACCTTAAGGATTCACCCGTTCAATAATTAAGACAATAATGTTTTTGGTTTTAAAATATTGTATGAATTCTAAACACATTTTGAAGTCTATACTGTTTTGATACATCAAGCCGAGTTCGCTGTATTGTAAACTTTATTTTCCTAATTATTCGGCACGTGATTAAATTTTCTTAAGTGACTTGGTATGAATTACATAACTGTCAAAAGCAGTGGCGTAGGCAGGGGGGGGTTAGGGGGGGTCATAACCCCCCCCCATAGACCCCTCGGTATATATAAAAAGTATGAGGGGGGGTGCAAATCGAAAGTTTGTCCCCGGGTAAAAATTGGAACCCCCCCCCTTGAGACGATCCTGGCTACGCCACTGGTCAAAAGTGATTTAATATCTTAGCAAAGGAAAAAAACTACGAACATTGGGTTAATACATGGGAGAGATAAAAATCTGTTATTATAGTGGAAAGTTTGACATTAGCTTATAAACTCCAAAACATTTGTGTTATTATGTGTACATCACATTATATAGGCCTATATATATATATATATACATATATATATATATATATATATATATATATATATATATATATATATATATATATATATATATATATATATATATATATATATATATATAATGGAAAGGCCCCGCGCGGATGGTTGGCACTAGGCCCCGCGTATTACTAACGCCGGCTCTGAGTCAAAGGGTTATAGTGCTTACGCCTACCAGTGATTCTTCCAAACTTTTTTCTGGGGGGAGGTGCGATGGACACTGTTAAAAGTATATATTTTCTAAATTAATTCCATTTCGTTCCGGGGAGGGGGGGGGGGAGACTTTCTTTGGGGGAGGAGGGACGGACAGAGATATGCCTGTAAGAAACTATGACGCCTGCATGTCTGATCTATCAAAACGGCCCCGACAAAACGACAGTATCATAATAGCCAAGATAAAAGGGCCCCGACAAAATGCCTCATGTCAGAAAAGGTGGGCCCAAATGAAGGGGTTGTGGGTGCATGTGGTTTATCAATTTGCGATGCCTATATTGTGTTGTGTGGGGGGTGTAAAAAGCAATCCTGGCATGTTTTAATTGGTTTACTTATATGTGCATTGTCTAGCTAACTTGATATTTTTTTTAAAGCTCCGGGACGTGTATGTGCTTGTTTGCAATACCTATTGGAAGTTTATCTCATAAAGTGATTCATTGTAGACCTAACTAATTCAAATACAATTCAGTTACTAAAGAGGGGGGAAAAAATAAGTACAAAGATTTTAACCCCCCCCTCCCCCTTTTCTCTCCCTGACCAAAAGGAAAGTATCTTTGATTAATTGTCGCTCGATGAAGAAAGTGCAAGATTAATGATGAACAGAGTTTCTTCCAGGCAATATTTTCGGGGGGTCTCTGACCCCCTAAAAAAGTCTACCCCCCCCCCCCCCCCCCCCCCACAAAATGGAATTGATATAGAAAATAAATATTTTTACCTGTGTCCGCCCCCACCCCCTCCGGAAAAGGACAATTTTAGTCCGCCCCCGAAAATATCAAGTGGTCCTCCCACCCCGCCCTCCCACCCCGGAAAAAAAAGTCTGAAAGAAACACTGATGATGAATTAAAAAAAAGTACATGGTTCTTACTACGGCCTACACTACAGCTAGAATTTGTAGCGGATTAAGCAGATGATGAAGGGCATTAATTTTTTTTTTTTTACTTTAATTAGGACGATAACATTTTAAAAACATAAATGAAGTAGCGTATCTCCTCGTAACTAGTGTTAGCCTATAGGAGCACATTTTATTAATCTTAGTGCATAATTATGGTGTATTTTTAAATACTTTTACATGTGTTGTTTTTGTTTTTCTCTTCTCTGTTATATAAAAATAATGGTAAAACCTTAGTTTAGCGTCGGTTATTATTCCGGAATCGTATAGCAGTAAAAAACAGTAAAACAATGCTAAAGTCTGTCACACACTTCCGGAATTCACCGGAAGTACTGTAAACCATACGTTATTTGGCGTCATCTTTTATTTTTAATACAGAACGTTTAAAATTTGGATAGATTTATTTTAATTGCGTGTTAAATACTGCTTTATTACTCATTTTGTATAACTAGTTATTTTTAAGTCTTTCAGCTAGATTTCTAAATATTTCTGCTACTAAACATTGTTTAACAGGGTTCGTACACAGTCTGGAAAAAGTCGACTTTAAAAAGTCTGGACGGGTCTACAGACTGTGGTATGACATTTTTAGCTGGGTATCGCAGATGAAACCTGATTTCTCAGTTACTACGTCGTTGGGGGAGGGGGGGGGGGAAGAGTGTAAGACCTGTCTTTTTTGTTGTTGTTGCTTGACTGACCGTGAAAAAGTTTAGGGCTAGACTAACCCGCCCCTCATTGCAACCAAGGTCACTGATATCTAAACTTGTATGAGCTCACGGTGACCCCAAGTACGTAGACGGTGCTGTTTGGCTAGGTGATGGATGAGGGGGGGAATAGAAGTTACTGTACAGTTCATGATATGACGTATTAGACAGGGCTACTGTGACCTCACAGTGACCCCGGGATTCAAAGGGACGACTCGAAATATCATCCAAGTTTCTCAGCTATAACTATAAGCACAAATAATGGTGTGGTTACAAAGGTCTTGTTTCATTTTCAAAATAGTGTACGAACCCTGTTTCCAGTCACTCTTACTCTTTTTGTAATCATTCTTACATCTTTGTAATAATTTTTACTAGTTTCGTAATCTAGATTTTTTTACTTGGCCTAGCAGCTAGCTAGATCTAATTAATTAATGGTCGCAAATCCGCTGCAAGCCAAAAACATTAAATTATTACATTTGACTTCATTATTTATATTAATATATGTTTTTTTTAATTTATAGATGTACTAAATAAAATCGAATAATAATATTTATTCTTGTTTCCTTTTGTCGATTAAACTTAAAAAATTAAAACATTAATTTACTACAATCAACTTTCAATTTATTTATATTTCAATGGTCAAATAAACCATGGTTTACCGTAACTCTAGTTACCGAAACTCAACAAACATTACCCGATAATTTCCGACGCTAAACTAAGGTTTTACCAAAATAATTAGAGAATTTACATATCCAGGTCAACCAATGTAGCGAATGTCAATGAGCCACAAATAATTTCAATAAATTATTAAATATTGTTTTTTAGTCGAATGTTGTAGAGTATAATAGTGATCTCTTTTACAAGGAGATAGATTTAGCCCTACAGTTTTCATTGTCAAGGTCAACAAAGATGGCAGCCCGCTTGATGAAAAGTGCTTTGGGTTGGAATAAAACATTTATTACCCTATTAAACCAAAGACATGTCCTACGACGGGATCAGCTATTTACTCCTTGTTCTTGTTTATGTAAAAGCAATGTAAATAAATTTCTGAACACGCACCGTCATTTTTCAACTAATGCAAAAGCTAAAGATGATTCGGGATCTTCGCCTTCTCCCAAAAAGCCGCATTGTAATGTCGGGACGATAGGCCATGTAGACCATGGTAAAACAACCCTTACCGCTGCTATAACAAAAGTATTATCAGAAAAATACAGTAATGAAAATAAATTTGTTGCATATGAGGCAATTGATAAAGCCCCTGATGAAATTAAACGAGGTATAACTATAAATTCTGCGCATGTTGAGTATGTTACACCATACAGACACTATGCACACACAGATTGCCCAGGTCACATTGATTATGTAAAAAATATGATAACAGGGGCATCACAGATGGATGGTGCAATTTTAGTTGTTGCAGCTACTGATGGTACTATGCCACAAACAAGAGAACATTTATTGCTGGCTAAGCAGATCGGGCTTGAAAATATTGTTGTATTCATAAACAAAGCTGATGCTGTAGACAGTGAAATGGTTGAGCTAGTTGAGATGGAAATCAGGGAGGTTCTAGAGGAGTATGGTTTCAATGGAAGTAAATGCAGTGTTGTGTCTGGTTCAGCGCTACATGCTTTGAAAGGAGAAAACCATCCCATTGGTAGAGATAAAATTCTTGAATTACTACAGGCAGTAGATACAAGTATTCCCACACCTGAAAGAAAATTAGATGAACCTTTTATGATGCCAGTTGAAAAAGTGATAAGTGTTCCTGGACGTGGCACAGTAGCTATTGGAACAATAAAACGTGGAATTATTCGAAAAGGAGAACCAATAGAACTAGTTGGCTATGGTAACCTCGTTAAGTCAGTTGTTTCTGATCTACATGTGTTTAATAAATCTGTAAAAGAATGCGCAGCTGGTGAAAATGTTGGTGCTCTACTGCGCGGAGTTAAAAATGAAATACTGCAACGTGGCATGATCGCTGGCGCCCCTAATAGCTTGTTTCAGTGTAATGCATTCAAAGCTCACATGTATTTACTTACAAAAAATGAAGGAGGTCGTGACCGTCCGATAACTAATAATTACATTCAAATGATGTACAGCAATACTTGGAATATTTCCTGTTGTGTGCAGCTTCCGGATGATACCACCATGTTGATGCCAGGTGAAGCCATTCAGGGCAGCGTGTTACTAAGACTGCCTATGGTTGTTTCCGCAGGGCAAAGATTTACTGTACGTGAAAATAACATTACTACATTAACAGGTCTTGTTACTGAAGTCCTACCTAATAGTGATCTTAAAGTGAAAGGCTTCAACGAAGAGAAAAAGGCTAGAATGATGATCCAAGGAAATGCGCAAGTGACTCGTTCTGCAAGATTAAAAAGGAAAAGACAGGACAGTTAAATTATTTCTAATTCTATCATAAAAATTATATGGTTTTATGTATACTTTACTGATTTGTTTTATGTTAATGAAAAAAAACACTATTTATAGGCCTACTTATTAATTATAAGTAAATACTAAAATACCATTACTTTTTATTAATTTTAATTCTCTTCTAAAGATTAAAATAATTCTTGTTATATTAGTTGTAAAATAAATTCTTATTGCTGTTAAGGTGACATAATTTAAAAAAAAACTTTAGGTTTTATCATTGTCATTCAGCAAGACTCATCTTTACTTGGTAGTATAATATTAACAATATCTTCGTTTACAAAATTTACTAGGCCTATACAAGACGAATATTTAAGCATTTATTAATTCACATCATATGATTGTTAGGTGTAAAATAATCTTTTTTAAAATGTGTAACGAATTTATTTTTAGTTTCATGACATGTTGGTATTACTTTACTATAATAATTTTTTTAACTTTACCCAAAATATGCCTTTGTAGAGTGAGCACTGACTCTTGTCTTAGCACACAGGTTATGTGACAGTTATGTCAGCAGTGGCCATTAGGTCAAGCCGTGATGGAGATGGTGTGGTGAGCTGCTGGAGCACATGGCTAATTAACCAAAATATTTCACATTGCTCTTAGTCTTAGGGTTTGTACCCAGCTATACCTTCATCTCATGTTATATTGGAAATAAAAGTAATTCAAATATGAAGGTTTGTGTACCAATAATTAACAATCATGAATAATTGTAATAAAGACTGTTAATATCTGGTTGGTCTAGCTTTTCACTTTATTTAAATATCAATATGGTTAACATTTTTGTAAAGCTTATTAAAAAAAATCAAACAAAATATTAACACATAAAAATTCCACAGCAGAGAATCATTCTTTTTAATTAACGAATTTTATTTTGTTGATGATTACTGTAAATTAATTAAAAAGTCCTTTAAAAAAAATCAATTTTCTTGTTTTTACTTATTTGTATTGTAGTATGTTTATAAACCAGTGTGAATATAACTAATGATAGTACTGTAAATTGTAATTTTGAAAACAAACAAAAAGCTGATAAATTTTAAAGAGAGTACAACAAGTAATCAGCTGAGTGAACCTTTTTTTTTTTAATTGACCACTCAAGTCTGTACAAAGCTGAAAATAATAACATGTGTATGTAGTTGTATGGTTAGCAGGCTCAGTGGCGTAGCGAGGTCGGGTGTTACCCGGTGCGGCACTTAATGGTGTCACCCCCCAGAGGCGTAGCGACCCTTCCTGGGGACAAACTTTCAAGTTTTCGATTTGCACCCCCCACCCTGAAACTTTCGATTTGCACCACCCCCCTCCCAAACTTTCGATTTGCACCCCCGCCTCAAGTTTTTCTCTATATATTTTGCTATTTTTCACCTTGGTGTCACCCCCCTAAATGGTGTCACCCAGTGTGGTTCGCACCACCCCCCCTCGCTACGCCCCTGAGCAGGCTGTATGGTTGGTCTCCATCAGCCCTGCACCAAAACAAAATGTTTAAAGTGCCCGTTCTTTTATTCATTGAAAAGATTCATGTCAAATTTGTTACTCCTCATTTTCAAGAATGGTCTTAAACATTTTTTTTCCACCCTATTATTGAGACTAGAGTGAATTATTTCCCCTTTCAAGCATTGCTGTTTTTCTCTCTTTAAACAAAGGCGTGTATGTACTTTAAAAGCTATCCAGACGGGTCATGCCTGAATGGCTTTGTTGAGCAATATCAACCAACCGCCCACTGCCAGGCATAAGCCAACCTGTACTCTACCTGTTTGGAAAAAAAAAAACATGTAGACAAAGAAGAAACAGTTCTATTTTTGTGACAGCCAGCACACCGAATCTACATAACACACGTTTGTGTAGGAAGTATTGGCTAACGCATGGGTTCCCTATCTATGGGCCGAGAAGGGTTGTTAGGGGGTCGCCTACTCTAGTACACTGGACCAAACAAATATATATATTTTTGTAATTGAATGGGGGTCGCGTGTCAGTGGACTTAAATATTTTTTTTTAAAGGGGGGATGGGGGGTCACCACCCGAAAAAGTTGGGAATCTGTGGGCCAATGGACTGAGTTTAGATGTCCATTATGGTGTCAAGCTATTTTAACTCACTTAATTTGAACTCGGGAGTTAACCAAATGCGTATTTTTAAAAAATGCCACCTCCATCAGCAGAAAAAAAAAATGACCTCACGAAGCTCATGTTCCCCTCTCATATAGTTTTCATTTTGATCTAGATTTAACAATATGCATGCTACGTCATATATCCCCTTCCCCTGCCCAAACCGACCCCCACTCCGCACACAGCAACAAGAGTTTGAAACTCCTCCCCCTATCCTCAAGTGAATCTTTTTCTTCAGGCAACACTTTGTGGGAGGGGGGGGGGGTGAAGCAATCCTTTCAATTAGTGTCTTCCTCCGCTAAAATTTCAAGCCCCCACCCCTACGGAACAGAACAAAATTGAAACGAAACGTCAAGAGCGACACCTCGTATCAATGAGGTTTAAAGTGCGCGGCGCCGTTCAGTTCGACAAGGTCGATAGAAAGCTGCCTAGACCGAAGGAATCGAGACCATACTAGATCCGGCCTGCCAATGCTCGCGATTTGTTCAGGAGCTGTGGACAAATATTGCATCATGATCGCCGCCTATTTCAATATAGTGTTGTGTTACGGCTTGTGGATGTGTTTTCATTCATACATTTGGGGTCGTGCATAAAAGACGTCACATTCTTACAGGGTAAGGAATTTGAAATTTTTAGGCGGGGGGGGGGGGGGGGAAGTTAAGAAAGTGTGACGAATGCATTTTTGTATGTTAAAAGTAAGGAGTCATCTATAAATGACGTGACACTGTTGGGAGGGAGGGGGGGGGGGGCTCCGAATTGTTTGACAAGGGGCTTAGAAACGTCACATTTTTTTCAATTAAAACGTAATGCAACGTATTAAATTTTAGCTGTAAGTGTTATATTGCGTTTTAAAAATGTTTTTGTAAATCGTAATATAAATTGATTAATATGCTCTATATTGACCGAGCTCAGTTAATATTTTTGGGAAAAAAAAATCGATGTTTTAAAAATACGCAAACTGCAATTTTGTAGGATGAAGAGTGGCGTCATTTTAGGGGGGGGGGGAAGGGGCTGTAGTGGTGTGGAAAGAGTGGGGGGGGGGGGGGAAAGGGTCGTCAAAGAAGCTGGAAGTCATTTATCGTGTGGTGAAAATGTGCCACCATCTCATGACAATATCACGTGTGCTCCACTGCCCATGGTCGAACGAGACACAGTGTGATAGGGGTTTATCCATAAATGACGTCACACTCGTAGGGGGGGAGGGGGGTCCGTAATTTTGTGATGAGGGGGAGGGGGGAGGCGGTTTCAGATGTTGCGACGTCACACTTTTGCATTAAAAAAAGCAATGTTAGAAAACGAATTTTAGACGTTATTTCGCGTTTTAGATAACTGTTTTAATAAATTGTAATAGTTTAGACAAGATGTTAGAAAGATATCGATGTTTAAAAAAAATTCAACTGCAACTTTGAGGGGGGGTCGTAGGCTGAGGTGTGAAGTGATTTTAGGGGGGGGGGTCTGGCTTTTTGTGACGACGTGGGGAGGGGGGGAGGTAAAAAGCGTGACGTCATTTATGGATGACCCCTTGCAGACTCTATGAAGTCGAGAGTTCGAACCCGGGGCAGATGTGGCTTGGTGGCAGTATCCCGTTTCCATCTAGGAGAGAAACACTTAAAAATCAAACAACTGCCTAGCATATTGTTCTTGTGTGAAAGAAAATCAGGCGTCAGTTTGAGGCGACAAGCTAAATAGTGCATACCAAGCTGCAGAGGCGTAGCGACCCTTCCCGGCGCCCCGGGACAAACTTTCGATTTGCACCCCCCTCTCTCAAACTTTCGATTTGCACCCCCCATCAAGATTTCGATTTGCACCCCCCTCAAGCTTTCAATTTATTTTTCCAACACATTTTGGCGCCCCCTAAGGTTGGCACCCGGGGACATATGTCCCCCCCCCCTCGCTACGCCTCTGCCAAGCTGACACGTTTTACTTAAACGGAGGAAATCCACTGCACCTGCATTTACAATAAAGAAGAAAATTAGTATTAGATCTGGAATGTGCTAAGAAAAATAAATATAAAATATTTTTTGTCAAGCGCTTGTTACAAGCTTTTATTTAACTCACTTCCTCTGTCTGTCGTCAGTCTGTCTTGACGGAAACGCAGGAGTGAAAATTCGGACAGTTCTACTTGACCGATACGATTCACAGTTGGCACGTGGGTCAAGACATGAAGACAATGCAATCTGAAACTAAATTTGACTTAATTGGATGCCTAATTAATTTTTTATGAATTAATAAAAATTTGGACCGAATTAGTAGGCATGTCTAGCCAACCACACCACACGCGTCATCACCTTCAATAGCTGCGCCATCACGTAATGGCTGCGTTCAAAAACCATTGCGCGCCTACTGAACGTGATGTTCATTAGGCGCGCAATGGTTTTTAGTCATGTAACTCTATTGTAAATAAAACATGTAAAGTACTGAAAAAAAAATTCATAAAAAACGTTTTAATAACAAGCTTTTATGTAATGATGCACTAAAAAGTAGAAAATAAATTATAGACTACTATTTAAATAACTATAAAGAAAAGCGTGGGTGTCTTCCTTAACATTAGTAAAGGTATCCAATAGATACTAAAGTGACCAACGCTTTTCTTTATAGTTATTTAAATAGTAGTCTATAATTTATTTTCTACTTTTTAGTGCATCATTACATAAAAGCTTGTTATTAAAACGTTTTTTATGAATTTTTTTTTTTAGTTTTACAGTTTTACCCATAATTAAAGAAAGAAAAAAACCTAGGCTAGGAAAACTATTTTCTCGAGTGGATGGCTGTTAGTCGCGGGGCAACATTGGGTTATCGGCCCTTGTTACCGTTTTATTCACCGTTCACTCAAATCTGCCAATCTTTATAAATACGGACGGTGTTGTAAATGTTAGTAACACTGTGATTAAATTGCTAGCTGAGTTGCATAACATACTGAATAAGCTACTATTGGTATCCAGTCTGTATGCAGGTTGAAAGGAGTTTTATGTTTATCTTAAAACACACACACAAGCAACCACCTCCTGTCCACATAGTGGCGTCGCTAGGTCGGTGTAATCCGGTAAGGCACCTCATGGTGTCACCCCCTCCTCTTTTATTTTCTCTGTAACCTTTGCAGATGGTGTCGACATACCCCCCCCCCCCCCCGATAAAAATTTTAAGGTGTTCACATTTAATACTAATGATGTTTATCGATAGTCGTTTGTTAATACAGCTGGGTGTAGCATTGTTTTCTCTACAGTTTGCATGTTTACGTCTTGGTGTCACCTCCTAAATGGTGTCACCCGGTGCGGTCCGCACCCCCGCCTCGCGACTCCTCTGGTCCATATGAGTCCTCAAAAGTTGACCCATCGTTGATCAAAGCGCTGCATGAAACAGAAAATCAACCTACAGTACAATACAAAGTACAAGTTACTTAGATAAGGGCAGACTTCCTTTGTGTTGTTGGCCCCACTCATCTTTTTTGACCCGGCCTTACAGCACACAAGGTTGACCTCGTTCCCCCAAACAAATGACGTCACCTGTCCCCAATTCCTCCCTTCAATATGCAAGAATGACGACGTAATCGATACTTGGTTTGACGACTACTGTGTCGCAATTTCTGAGAGTTGTCGCCCCTGTCAAATGTAGGTCAAACAGCTGGCTTGTAGCAACAATGACAACATTGGGTTTTTTCTTTATTGTTGAATTAATTTGTTTTGTGATGGATACTCCCCTCATTATGCGAAAACAAGGATTTGAAGTGGTGAAACGTTTCATCAGATGTAACGATTAAATCAGCCGGTGTGTTGTTTGGGTTCATTTTTAATTTCATTTTTAATCCGTTCGAACGTAATCTTAATCTAGTCTGTTCAATTAATGTGATCAGTAGCTAAACGATTGACAGAACACGACAGTGGAGAAACTTGAAACTGTAACAGTTCTTTTAGGATGTCATGAAACTAAGACAAAGACTGGTAAGTTTTTTTTTTTCTGTTCTTGACTATTTATATCTAACTATCAATATAGACAGTTTCTTCCAGACATCTCTTCGAAGAGGGGGGGGAGGGGGGAGAGAGAGAGAGAAAAAAGTCTTGAAGAAACACTGACTATAGATAGGCCAACAAACCTGCGCGAATTTCGGTTTCTCTGTTTCTTCTGAGCAAGTTTGTTTATTTATAAATCGATTAACCATACCGACACAGTCATGTCATAGCGTAATCTACTATAGATGGGGGGTGGGGGTTGGTGTTGGTATACAAATGACTTCAATGGGAGTAGGTGGACTTTGTCGTGAGTTAGGGGCGACAGTAAGTGTGATGTCACATATTTGTATTTTGAAAAGTATTTTCGTAAAATTATTATCGAAGTTATTTTGCATTAACTGGAATTAATAAATTGACCGATCTCTACAATTTTGACCAAGGTCAGTAATTATCTTAGAAAGAAAAGCCAACTTTGAAAAAAAAAAAGACAAACCATCATTTATGTATACTATTATTTGTGTCACAATTTGTGTGTGTGGAGGGGGGGGGGCAGTTGACATTTTTTGGTGATGGGTTGGGGTTCATAGACATTTTCTCAATGCGTGACGTCATGCAATGATTACCCCTAGGTTAATCTTGCGTCTTTGGGCACACTGTAACGATATTCACGTTTAATTGCCTAGCCTAAATCAAGTGTATGTTCATCAAATGTAATTGGAATGATTGAGGGGATCTATTTAAATGATTGTGTGTGCGCTTGTGTGTGTGAGTGTGTGTGTGTGTGAAGGGAAGGCGTTGACAAACTGTGATGACGTGTGTAGATTTGGATGCTGGAGTAAAATTTTGCGTCCTTACTATGTCGTGTTGTCATCTGGTGCTACAGTATATTATGTTGTCTTTAACTGCTACGGTATATGTTGTTGGCATCTAGTGCTACAGTATATGTTGTTGTCATCCAGTGCTACAGTCTATGTTGTCATCTAGTACTACAGTATACGTAGACAGTGGCGTAGCGAGGTCGGGTGTCACCCGGTGCGGCACTTAATGGTGTCACCCCCCCCCCCCCCCCAGAGGCGTAGCGACCCTTCCCCGAGGACAAACTTTGAACTTTCGATTTACACCCACCCCTAAAACTTTCGATTTGCACCCCCCCCCCAAACTTTCGATTTGCACCTCTTAAAAGTCTATTTAACACTCGAATTAATCACTTAATTAAGTGGAATTATCATTTTTCTCTATATATTTTGTTATTTTTTTGCCTTGGTGTCACCCCCCTAAATGGTGTCACCCGGTGCGGTCCGCCCCCCCCCCCCGCCCCCCTCGCTACGCCTCTGTACGTAGATGTCATCTAGTACTACAGTATACGTAGATGTCATCATGTACTACAGTATACGTAGATGTCATCTAGTACTACAGTGTACGTAGATGTCATCTAGTACTACAGTATATGTTGTTGTCATATAGTACTACAGTATACGTTAGTGTTGTTTAGTACTACAGTATACGTAGATGTCATCTAGTACTACAGTATACGTTAGTGTTGTTTAGTACTACAGTATACGTAGATGTCATCTAGTACTACAGTATACGTAGATATCATCTAGTACTTCAGTATATGTTGTTATCATCTTGTGCAAGAGTATATGTTGTTGTCATCCACTACTACAGTATATGTTTTTGTAATCTAGTGCCAGATTATATGTGATGTCATCCATACTACAGTAGCCTATGTGCTGTCGTTAAGGAGTGCTAATGTATACACTTCATTCATCTAGTGCTCAAGTATCCTATACTGTCAATATTTTAAAGACGTGCATGTGATGTACCACACATCAGCATGTGATGTGCCCCAGGGGTGGTAGCTGTGGAGTGAGTGACTTTATAGTTACTCACAAAAGAATGTTCGTTACGTCACACTGTCACGCCCCCATCCTCCCACACCGTATCATCTCGTGCTAAATCTCGCGACAGCCGTGAAATACACTACGCTAGCGAGACTAATCGTTCCTATTTGTGGAAGATTGTCTGCGGTCAAAAGTTCACAATTCTTAATTAACCTTTTTTGTAATCATCGTACGACCTTTCCAACAATTATAAGACACTTTGTACGTTGCAAGTTATCTTACTTTTAATTATTATATTTAATTAGATAAGGTCTTGGAAAGCATAACATTAATCTGGTACAAATAGCCTTTAATATATAACAGTATGAAATGGTAATTTTTTTTTACATATAGATCTAGCCTACATTAAATCATGTACTGGGCAGTTTTTTCCAGGCATTTCTTGGGGTGGGGGGGGGGGGGGGGGAGAGAAAGGGAGGGTGGACTTTTGGCGACGATGGAAGTACGGGGAGAGGAATCGGGGGGGGGGGGGAGCGTGACGTTATGCATGGTCAACTAGATACGGTTTTAAAATTGTTTCTAACGAGGATGTAGCAAGTGGTTTTCTCTGTAAACAAATAATAGTTTTTATTTTAATTTGAGAAAAAAGTTGGTTATAACACCTAAAATCCTAATTTGTATTTAGGGTACCTTTAATCCTAACTTCTATCGGTAAGAGCATATTTAATCCTAACTTGTATTTATGTTATCTTTAATCCTTTAACTTGTACTTGACAGATGCCTTGAACGTGCACATCTGATTGACCTTCACTCACACGTGAGCAGGATGGCTGGAGGAGGTCAAGGTCAGACGGACAAGGGGTGGTCCTGGGTTGTCCTGGTCAGCAGCTGGTTGTCCCTGTTCACCTTGACCTTCATGTCTGCAGGGGCGGGCATCTTGCAGGTAATGATCTTTGATTTGACCCCCGGGCCGGTATCCTGCAGGTAATGATCTTTGATTTGACCCCCGGGCCGGTATTCTACAGGTAATGATCTTTGATTTGACCCCCGGGCCGGTATCCTGCAGGTAATGATCTTTGATTTGACCCCCGGGCCGGTATCCTGCAGGTAATGATCTTTGATTTGACCCCCGGGCCGGTATTCTGCAGGTAATGATCTTTGATTTGACCCCCGGCCCGGTATTCTGCAGGTAATGATCTTTGATTTGACCCCCGGGCCGGTATCCTGCAGGTAATGATCTTTGATTTGACCCCCGGGCCGGTATCCTGCAGGTAATGATCTTTGATTTGACCCCCGGGGCGGTATCCTGCAGGTAATGATCTTTGATTTGACCCTGGGCTGGTATCCTGCAGGTAATGATCTTTGATTAGACCCCCGGGCCGGTATCCTGCAGGTAATGATCTTTGATTTGACCCCCGGGCCGGTATCCTGCAGGTAATGATCTTTGATTTGACCCCCGGGCCGGTATCCTGCAGGTAATGATCTTTGATTTGACCCCCGGGCCGGTATTCTGCAGGTAATGATCTTTGATTTGACCCCCGGGCCGGTATCCTGCAGGTAATGATCTTTGATTTGACCCCCGGGCCGGTATCCTGCAGGTAATGATCTTTGATTTGACCCCCGGGCCGGTATCCTGCAGGTAATGATCTTTGATTTGACCCCCGGGCCGGTATCCTGCAGGTAATGATCTTTGATTTGACCCCCGGGGCGGTATCCTGCAGGTAATGATCTTTGATTTGACCCTGGGCTGGTATCCTGCAGGTAATGATCTTTGATTTGACCCCCGGGCCGGTATCCTGCAGGTAATGATCTTTGATTTGACCCCCGGGCCGGTATCCTGCAGGTAATGATCTTTGATTTGACCCCCGGGCCGGTATCCTGCAGGTAATGATCTTTGATTTGACCCCCGGGCCGGTATCCTGCAGGTAATGATCTTTGATTTGACCCCCGGGCCGGTATTCTGCAGGTAATGATCTTTGATTTGACCCCCGGGCAGAGGCGTAGCGACCCTTCCCGGCGCCCGGGGCGAACTTTCAATTTGGCGCCCCCCCCCCCGCTTATATATATATATATATATATATATATATATATATATATATATATATATATATATATATATATATATATATATATATATATGTGTGTGTGTGTGTGTGTGTGTGTATAATTATGTGTGTGTGATAGTGTGTTTATATATAAGCTTGTGTGTGGGTAAGAGTGTATTTGTGTGTGTAAGCGTGTGTGTAAGCGTGTATGCTACAGTCCGGACAAGGTTTAATAATTACATTGTATGATTTTCATTCCTTAAAACTTTACGACAATTTAATTCCCATTAAGATGCGTTTAACTTTTTTTGCGAAAGATTAGTAATGTCAGTAAAAAAAAATAAGCCTGATCTGTGTTAGAGGGTAGTTTGTAGCTAACGCTAATATGTTTAGACCAGCCTTTTATGTTCTAGTTTTGAACGATCTCTGTTGTGATATGGTACATATTGGATTCGAAGTTTGTTAGAGTAAGGACACACAAGTGACATACAAGAAGAAGTTATCAGAAATATTTATTGTTCACATTGGAATACGACATGGGTATTTCGTTGATTGGTTGATGGTATGACAAAACAAGCTAGAGAAAACAAACTGGAATCCAACAGATGTTAACAGCTCGTAGTCTTGGATTTCGCAGATTTGCCCTGCCTTCTCGCAAACAGTTTCTTCCAGGCATCTTTTCGGGGGGGCGAAGCCCCCCGGAAAAATTTTTACGCCCCCCCGAACGAAATGAAATTTATATAATTTATATATAGAAAATATATACTTTTAACAGTGTCCGCCCCCCCCCGAAGAAAGTTTACCGCCTCCCCCCTCCCCCCGAAGATTTCAAGTGCCCCCCCGGAGAAAAAAGTCTGGAAGAAACACTGATCAAAAGTATCTGATCTCTCACGTTGAAGTTGAGAGAATCGTAAGAATCTTACAAAGAACTAGTCGCGTCTTTTTTTTTAACAAAACTGGCTATTGAAATTGTACATTACGCGTTAATACACTTGGTTTCTTTACTAAGTGTTAAGAGAGTTATCTACTCACCAATCCAGTACAAATACTTGCGATTTTTGTTAGCGAAAAAAGCGCCCCCCCCCACCCCCACACACACTCATCACAACCATCTTGGACAAAGTTTGTAGAGCGGTTTTTAACGTAACTAACTTTTTTTTAAAAAATGTTACACAATTATACAATGCACAGTACAATTCGTTTCTTTCTGAGAGCTAAAGGTTGTTTACTCAGAATCCTGTGTAATTTTGCTATTTTATTTAGCCTAAAAGCGCCCCCCTGCACCATCTTGATAAAAGTCACTAACGTATTTTACAGTTCAACAATCGTACAATACGTTTTAATACAATTGGTTTCTTTTAATAGTGGTAACGTTTATCGACTCAACAATCTAGTGTAAATTCTTCCGTTTTAAGTCTCGAAAAAGCGCCCCCCCCCCATCTAGGAAAAGCTTCAAAGCGGTTTTGCCGGTCACTGTTTCTTAAGAGTATATGTTTTACATTAAGAAATCAAGATAGAAAACAGTTAAATCAGTATGTAAATGCGTGTAGCCATTATATTTCTTAACTTAGACAGTTTATAATTCAAAACTGCAGCATAAAATCAGCTTTAAAAAAATTTTCCCACCCCTTTTGGCGCCCCCATAGGGTCGGCGCCCGGGGCGGCCGCCCCCCCCGCCCCCCCCCCTAGCTACGCCTCTGCCCCCGGGCCGGTATTCGGCAGATCACGATCTTTATTTAACTTGATCTACTGGCGTACGATTGTAAGGAAGTGAGTAGAGAGCTGTCTATAGTGCGAAACAGCGAAACAGATGCGAATGGTTCTTTTCATTGCTAGGCTATAGTCAGTGTTAGGGTAGACTCTTGAGTTAAAGTTGTTTCGGGTTGAGTGTCGGAAAAAGTAATTCAGATTATTTATTGAGTTAGTTTTTAGTTTCAATTTCTGGATAAAAATTTAAAAAAAAATCTGATGGGTGTTTGGGAAGTGTTTCTTTCGTACTTTTTTCTCCGGGGAGGGTTGGGTCACTTGAAATTTTCGGAGTTTTTTTTGGGGTAGGGGGGGGGGAGGTCCGGATACTGGTAAAAGTATATATATATATATATATATATATATATATATATATATATATATATATATATATATATATATATATAGTTTCTATATACATTCTTTTCGTTATGATAAGGGGATAAGAATGTCTACCGCACCCCCCCCCCCCCCCCCCCTTAGAGATTCCTGCAAGAAACTGTGTTTGGGCGAGAAAATATTTAAAGAATATAACGTGAAAATTGTAAGATAACATAGATAAAGGAAACAACATTATAGCTAACACCAACTCGTGGTTTGCACCACGTAAGTCATCTAATTAGTAGGCCGGCAATTTTTTTTTAATTAACTCAGTTAGGTTTTGTTATTTAGGATGGGCCTACGATTGGCCCATTTGTGGGCTTGATTCGACATTACGGTAAGTGTAATTGACACGAGGTGACCTTCTAAAATTAATTAGGACAGTGTGCCAGAGGCGTAGCGAAGGGGGGGAGGCAGGGGGGTACATATTTCCCCGGGCGCCGACCTTAGGGTGCGCCAAAATAGGTTGGAAAAACAAATTAATGTTACCGAGTGTATTTACTCGCAGTGCCAAATGTTACCGAGTCTATTTACTTGTGCTATCTTTGACCAGCACACAACATCAACCACAATACAGATACTCGGAAGTGCAGGTTTACATTTATCTGTTTATTACATGAATCAATAGAAATGCTCCACATAGCAATGCATCAATGTTCCACAAGAATACAATGAACCAACTGACCCCCACTGTCCTCACTAGTTCTCACACATCAGAATACACGAGTCCATGGTTCCTATTCTCACAAATCACAACACGTCTCCACAGTTCAGTCTTCAACTCTGTTCTTCCTAACTAAAGCACGTATCTACAGTTCAGGCTTCAACTTCTGTTCTCAACTGTTCCGTCTCCTTCTGTCCTGCCCTCTCCTTATATCGCTTCCCAAAATACCCAGTCGCCTTGTATTCGTAATCGATTCTATTCGTTTCATCAAAGCTATTAACTCCGCACTTCTGTCGTGCCATCCTATTATTAGACTTTTGTTTCTATTTCTGTCACAACACCTGCACCCGTTGCGTCAGACTGTATTGCGTTCTTATCAATAGTCTTTAGTAACTACACTAGTTACATTAAAATCTCATTTTAGTGCAGTTTTGCATTATAAATATAAAAAAAATATATATATGGGAGGGGGGGGGTGCAAATGGAAAGTTTGAGGGGGGGGGGTGTGCAAATGGAAAGTTTGAAAAGGGGGGGGGGGGAATTGAAAATTGAAGGTTTGTTCCCGAGGGGGGCGCCAAATTGAAAGTTTGTCCCCGGGCGCCGGTAAGGGTCTACGCCTCTGCAGTGTTCTTGGTTTTAAATATGTACTTTTCTCATTCCTTTTACTGGATAGATCTACATACAAATGTAAATTAACTTTTTAATGACTAATTTAATATGAAATTCAACTAAGTGAACGATTTTTCTCAAACATACGCATGGTTTCATCCTCGATAACAACGTAATAATATTTAATTTTGATTTGAATTTGATATTAAATTAGTCATAAAAGTAATTGATTTTTATATTTGTTTATATTACTTTATATCTATTAGTAAAATGGGAGATAACTAGGTATGTTTTAAACCCCTCACAAATTAGCTTCGCTCCCCTATATGTTTATTTTAAGCATCTAGCTCAGATCTTTGTACGAAACAAATATTTTATTGAAAGCACTGATTGTAGTTTTTAAACAGGTGGAGATCATAGACGACCTAGGTGTCGGTTCGGGCATTGTTTCAACCATGACGTCTCTAGCACTGGGCATGTCGTGTTTGCTGGGTGAGTGATCTCCCTTGTTTAGGTAGAACACTAGCAGTCAAAAACTTGCTGGCTGAGTAATTTCCCTTGCTAAGTTGCTAGGGTAGACAAGAGCAACTGAAAAACTTGGTTAGTGAGTTATCTCCCAAAAGCTAAAGATTTTCTAACCACTACTAGATTCTAGATCTAGAAAATCTAGATCTAATTTTGTTTATTTTAAAGATATGTTTTAGCTATAGTAATAGCCTACTTTTTTGTATTAGTTTTTTTTTTTTTTTTAAATTTAATTTGTGGTTGGTGGAGGCTTGGGTGTGGTAGGTTTCTGATGCATTTGTTTGTAGGCTAATTTGAATTGTATGACTTTCACATTCTTAAAAAATCATTGTTTGAATTGTTTGTGTGGAACATCTGTTATCCATGTGACTATTTAGAATAGACAGTCTCAACGGCTCTTTGTGGTTGGGTTGGTAAAGTTCACATTTGCTAAACCAAAAAGATCCTAGTTGAAACCCTTAGTAGATCTAGTAGTAGGCAGATGAGGCTCAATAGCTAGGGACAATTAATCTAGGGTGAAGTTTTCAAAACAGTCTCTTAATATATGGGAACATATTTAAATAGGTCATTGGCTTTTACATACATATATATATAATATATATATATATATATATATATATATATATATATATATATATATATATTTATATATTTATATATATATATATATATATATATATATATATATATATATATATATAGGCCTATATATATATATATATATATATATATAGGCCTATATATATATATATATATATATATATATATATATATATATATATATAATATATATATATATATATATATATATATATTATATATATATGTATGTAAAAGCCAGTGGCCCATATAAATATGTATATATATATATATTCATATAATACTATATTTCATAGCCATCCTTCAGTTTCTTTGTATGTTTGCTCTACAGGGCCATTAAGTGGCGTGGTGGCCAGTCTCCTATCTGCCAGATATGCAGTGTTTCTGGGCGTGGTCCTCATCTCACTGGGCATGCTGGGCCTGAGCATGTCCCACTCACTGGCATCCATGATGTTTTATTATGCAATAGTTACAGGTCAGGGAAAGGTAGTCTGTAATTAAGGTATAGACTTTTTGTTTGGGTCATCTTGTGGAGATTAATTATAGGAGTATTCATGGTGTAGCTTATAGGCTATAGCATGTTTAGACACTATTGTAAAGCTTGCAGGCCCTTTTAACTCTAATATTAAATCTAATCCAAAAACATCAGATGAAGACTTGTACCAAAAACCAATTAGTTTTAGATTGTATTAACCCAAGTATTATAGGTTTATAATATTCCCTATCATAAACTCTAGTACAAATCCTTAAACGCCTACTAATTCTAAACTTAACATCTACCCTAGAATAAATACCCAAGCATTCTGTTACAACACTTTACACTATCTTTAATATTTATCTAAATTTGTTAAAATACCAAAACATTGTATCAAAACTTGTTCAAAATCAAACAGTTACTCTGGGACAAAATCATAGTTTACTCTGTTAAAAAAGGGCTTACATTGTACAATCTTCAAAATACATCTAAATGTAATAACCTGGCTATTAACCCTAATCCAAAAACTTGTGATTAAAACTTTTTCTAATATAAATAAAATAACTACCTTAGTACAAAACCTTGCTCTGCAGTATAAAAATACCATCTCAAAATGTATTTGTCCAAATAAATTGAAAGTCCAAAGCTTATGATAGAAAATATTTTGTATTGGCCCTCATTAGTGCAATTAAGTATAAGTACTATTAGGCATTAGCAGTCATATTTTTAGACATTAGTATTTTTAGACATTATTATTTTTAGACATTTGTCATTTCATTCATTAGTAGACCTAGTATAATTTGAGTTTATAATGTTTAGAGTATTACAGTCAGTTACATAGTCCTAAATATTGTCAAAATGTTATCGTTTGTTTTATGACTGGTAGTAAATATATTTTATTTTATTACAGGTGTAGGCTATGGACTGGCTTATTCCCCCGTTATTGTTATCGTAAGCTACTATTTCGACAAGCAACGAATGCTGGCCAACGGAATTTTATTCTGTGCGCCAGGCACTGCTCTACTGTCCCTGCCCTACCTGATCCGTTACGTCATAGATTCCCATGGCTGGAGGTTCTGTACGGCATTAAACGGCGCCATCATGCTGCATGTTATTGTTTTCGCCGCCACTTTTTTCCCGACTGAATTAGAACAAAAAAGTATGTTGGATTTATCTCCTCTTTGCTTTTGGAGAAATACCAGGCTCGTTGAAAAGAAATATCATACGACTGAATGTCAGAAATCAGAGTTCTGCAATAATGTAGTCGCAGATGATCAACATTCAAATAATCAAAATTACCTGGAGGTGATCAGTAATGGAGTATCAGAATTTCAACAACCAGATTATCAAAATTATTCCAAAAATTTTGAACCCTTGATCAGGTCCATTCTTCATTTGGAGGAGACCGACAAACTAACATTCTGTAGCCAATCAGAAATTGATATATCCAGTAACCTTGACCTAGAGATTCCTGTTAAAAATTTGAATTTCCCACCAGAAAACTCAGTGGACGAAACACTTTTACCGAAGAGTGTGATCAATATTAGAATAGAAGAATCTCAGAAGTACATTTTTCATGAAGACAGTGTTTCTGATGCTAGTCAGCTGTCCAGAAGACCCAGTGTTAGGCAGCAGTCAAAAAATTGTTCCCAGACCTTCACCTTTGGGCAGCTAAGAAAACAGACCTCAACTGAGAGTGGTTACCTTGGCAACAGTCTGGTGTGGGCATCATCGGTGATGGGCAGCTCCATGATTGTACCTCCGCAGCCAGAAGAGGAGGCATGCAATGAGGAGGAGACTCAGAACACTTGTGTTTTATCCAAAATCAAAAGGTAAAAAGTTTAAATTGGTTAAAGTGAGAAGAAGTCTGTGTTATTGCTAAAATCAAAAGGTATTAGAAAAGTTAACTTTTGTTTAACTGATAAGAGCCTTTGTGCTCTAACCATACTTAAAAAGTATACAATAAGACAATTAGGCAACATTGTTTAAAACTTAAACACCATTACTGTTTGTTTTAAAATAATGAAGTGTTAATGCATGAAAATAGTACGGCGTCATTTTATTTTTTTTTACACAATTTTTCAAGTATCAATGCTATATGTCTGATTCTTCATTTAAAGATTTACCCAAGATTTCAAAAGTGTCAATAATTATCATTAAATGTTTTAATCACCTTAGAAGAACCATTTAGTTTTTACATCTAGAAGGTCAAATCAAGATATAGCTGAAACTGTCTTATTGCTGAAAAGAAAATTAACAGTTAAACAAAAGTAAAAAAAAAAGCTAAAATTTATTTCCAGATAAAAATTTGGAATTAAAGGTAACAATATTTATCCCCCATATTTTACATGTCTTATAAAACATCATGTTAAGATAATATTATTTCTGACGTCTGTACATAACACCTTATATAAATGTTTTTTTTGTTGTTGAAATCTTGAAACTTGTATTCATGGCTATTGATACAACATATTTTAAAATACTTTTCTTCTTCATTCTTAATTTTAGTGTTGGAAGGGAAGTCCTTCAACTTATTTAAGTTTAAATTTTGGTTTAAAATACTCATTGTGTTGTTTTGATGATTATTTTTATCTATCTTTTTTTAAACAGGCTAAGCAAATCAAAGGTGATGTGGATACTAAACATCAACAGTTTGTTGTTTATGTTTGGGGTGGGCATCCACAGTGTGCACTTCCCAGCGTACGCCCGGAGTAAAGGCATGTCTCCGCACCAGGTCTCTGAGTTCTTCACAGTCTATGGAGTGGTCATGATGGCCGGCAGACTGCTAGGTGGCGCTTTGTTCAACAGGTCTTGTGGTTTTTTTAATTGATTTTTTATTGATTACAAGTTATGTTGGGGGGGGGGGGGGGGTGGGGGGGGGGGGGGGGAAAGAGACAAAACAAATTTTTCTTTTCAGGGGGTGGGGGGTAGAGGGGGCACAACTAAATTGTTGACTCAGTTCAGTGGGATAACAAAAGCTAGGACACTATAATGCCACATCAGAAGTCTCTTGTGTTTGGAAACTGGGATTGCAAGAGTCAGAGTAAACTCAGCTTTAATAGGTACCCGGCTTGAATCAGGGAATTTCAAGATGACTAGACCATGTGCAGATCAACTAGTTCTAATTTATGCAAATACCAAATAAACAGATGAACTTCATCTGCTTATAGAACTGTACCTTATAAAACTGTTACTTATCTTTGTTTAGAGAAATCTGGAAATCAATATAGCAACTCATCCTTAGATATTTTAACATAAAAGCCATCAATGGTAGCTAAAACCTTACACAACACTAACACTGGCTTTAATGATGAATGTTTTTCTAGAGTGCTTTCCCAGGGGAGGTAAAACACTAACACTATCTTAAAAATTTAATGTGATTCCTGGCTTGGTTTTGTTAAAGGGAGATAACAAAAATTCAGTCTTAAATGTTCAATGTGTTTTCTGTAACCTCTGTTGTGATTCTTGTGTAAAATATATCTCCAGTACAGATCTTTTTTTTCACTGACAAATTCTGCATTCTCAACACAGATTTTTATTTTCACTGACAAAATTTATATCTTCAGTAAAGATCTTTTATGTCAGTGATAGAATGTACATATTCTTTTACTAGTGAGTGCTCATAATGATGAGTGACTGTCAAAGATTTTATTTTAATTATCACATGTTCATAATAACAAGTACAAATTTGATTTTCTCATGTCACATATGTTTAGCCTCTCATAGAAGTTGCCCCTAAGTAATGTGTCTTCCTGTCATAGATACACCAATATAGCAACTAAAACAACAAACTATTTATCTTACTACCCCCCCCCCCCTCCATGTATTAGTGAACAGGGAGAACTGTTTCCCTGTAGAAAAAGCTTATCATACCCCTCCAATACACACCCCAATATCTTTGTGACTATATCAACAAATTTCCCAATTTGATTTCTACCCATATATTATTGAACAATCACTTAATAGCTTGTTTTCATATTTTCACTACACCTAAAAGTAATAGCTTGTCATTGTCAATAATTCTATTCTTATCTAACCAATTCACCATTCATACAATGTATATTTTTCTCTACTCTGTAGACTGAAGCCACCACTGGTTCTCTTAACATTCATCCTGCAACTGTTGAATGGGCTGTGTATGGCTCTGGCACCTGTCTACTCTATCACAGCTCCAGGAATATTTGTCATGGAGGTAAGGAATTTTTTTTTTTTTTTTGGAGCTGATCATATAAAAAATTTAAAATTATGTGCGTTTTTCATTTGTATGTTTGTATGTGTGTGTGTGTGTGTGTGCAGGTATAGAAATGTGTCCTTGTATACTTGTATGTGTATATGTATGTAGGCCTATATGTGTAACTAAGTTTTTATGCAGTCGATAATAAAATATGAAAATATATTTGCCTTTTTCATCCATGTGTATGTATGTGTGTGTGTATAGGTATGTGTGTGCTATTATATTTGTATTTGTAAATGTATGCATATGTGTAACAAAGTGGGGTTTTTTTGTATCTGAAAATAAAAATATGACAGTTTTTATCCATGTTTGTGAATGTGTGTAGATATAGGTATGTGATTGCTTAGATACTTGTAGGCGTATATGTATATTTGTAACAAATTTTTTGTGCGTGGCTGATTATAAAATATGAAAATATGTGCCTTTTTATCAATGTATGTGTATGTGTATATGTATGTAGGCCTATATGTGTTACTTAGTTTTTTTGGAAGCCAATGATAAAACATAAAATTATGTGCCTTTTTCATCTGTATATGTGTGTGGGTATCTTTACTTATATATGTATACTTATATGTGTGAGTGTATGTGTGCATGAGCATGGGCATAGGTATGTGTATGCAGTTTCACAGAGTGTGTCTTTATACTTGAATGTGTGTGCATGTGTGTGCACATGCATATTTATAAGCATCTTTTTATGTTTATTTATCTTTCTGTAAGTGTATGTAAATGATCGCATTAATCTTTTTGTGCATGTATATATGCAAATTTTAACTGAACCCAGGATATGTTATGTCACATTTCAGGCAGGAATAGCACTGTTCTACGGACAAGCATACATGCTAATCTCACCCATGTTAGCCAAACTCACTGGTGTCAGTGACCTGCATATAGCTTTTGGAATTAATCACATGTTTGTTGGGATAGGTTATATCTCCGCACCCATACTCGCAGGTTGGTTGCGTGTTTTATTTTAATCACATGTTTGTTGGGATAGGGTATATCTCCGCACCCATACTCGCAGGTTGGTTGCATGTTTAATTTTAATCACATGTTTGCTTGAATATCTCCGCACCCATAATCACAGGTTGGTTGAGTGTTTTATTTTAATCACATGTTTGTTGGGATAGGTTATATCTCTGCACCCATACTCGCAGGTTGGTTGAGTGTTTTATTTTAATCACATGTTTGTTGGGATAGGTTACATCTCTGCACCCATACTCGCAGGTTGGTTGCATGTTTAATTTTAATCACATGTTTGCTTGAATATCTCTGCACCCATAATCACAGGTTGGTTGAGTGTTTTATTTTAATCACATGTTTGTTGGAATAGGTTATATCTCTGCACCCATACTCGCAGGTTGGTTGAGTGTTTTATTTTAATCACATGTTTGTTGGGATAGGTTATATCTCTGCACCCATACTCGCAGGTTGGTGGAATGTTTTATTTTAATCACATGTTTGTTGGAATAGGGTATATCTCCATGGCTACAGGACATTACCCCCCGGAAATTACCCCCAGGACATTTCCCGCCCCCGTATTTTCCCCTGGAGCAATTACCCCCCTGTCATTTACTTCCCCCCACCTCTGGGGAATTACCTTAATTACTTTAATCCAAACCTTAAGAAAAAGACAAAAACCTAAGCATCCACCTTAGCCTAAAACTTCACACAAAACCAACGCTAGACATTGGTTCAAGCCTAACCCTAACCCTAGCCCTAACTCAAACTCTAACCCTAACCCTAACCCTAACCCTAACCCTAGCCCTAGCCCTAAACCTAGCCCTAACCCTGTCCGTGAGGGGGGGTAATGTCCTACTGGGTGGGGGGGGGGGGGTAATTGACAGGGGGTAATTACTCCGGGGGGTAATGTCAGGGGAGGGGGGGGGATGTCCAGGGGGGGGGGGGGAATGCCCTGTTCCCTATCTCCGCACCCATACTCGCAGGTTGGTTGAGTGTTTTATGTCAGTACATGTCTAATTGATTATTGTTGTTATTTTAATTCTTATTCTTTGATTTGTAATCTTTGATTGTTAATCTTTGATTGTTAATCCTAAGTAAATTGTACATTATTATAGAACCCTCACTAAGGGGTAAGTCTTTTAGAGTGACCCCACAACCCTTTTGTCTTTTAGAGTGACCCCACAACCCTTTTGTCTTTTAGAGTGATCCCACAACCCTATTGTCTTTTAGAGTGACCCCACTCCCCTTTTGTCTTTTAGAGTGATCCTACAACCCTATTGTCTTTTAGAGTGACCCCACTCCCCTTTTGTCTTTTAGAGTGACCCCACAACCCTTTTGTCTTTTAGAGTGACCCCACAACCCTTTTGTCTTTTAGAGTGACCCCACTCCCCTTTTGTCTTTTAGAGTGATCCCACAACCCTATTGTCTTTTAGAGTGACCCCACAACCCTTTTGTCTTTTAGAGTGATCCCACAACCCTATTGTCTTTTAGAGTGACCCCACTCCCCTTTTGTCTTTTAGAGTGACCCCACAACCCTTTTGTCTTTTAAAATGACCCCACAACCCTTTTGTCTTTTATAGTGATCCCCACCCTCATTTGTTCCATTAGAGTATCCCTAATCCACCCACACTTTTCAAATCTTACAGAGTACCTCTGAAATTTTAAAATTGTTATTTTAGTATTGATTAAAAAAATCCCTTGCTGGTATAATACAATTAATTAATTAAGTAAGTAGTAACTACAGTTGACTTTTCAGTCTGTACCATTATAAGTAACCCATTCCCCTAAAGAAATTAAAACATTTTTATACCAAGATTTTAAACTTTCATGTATGAGTAATTTAATGTAGGGCCAACAGAACACTGTTTCATTAATAAAAAAATTAATAAGTTAATTTTTTTACAGGTTTTATATATGATGTGACTCACACATACGACTTTCCTATGGTTATGGGAGGTAAGAAGAATTAACTTAGTATGTTGTTTCTGACAAGGGACAAAATTTGATTTTAGCTTATCTGTTCCATTTTTTAGGGAAAACACTTCTAGATTTATTTTACATAATACATTTCATTTCTCACCATACATATAGGCCTATACATCTATATCCAAAAATGTGGTATTAAATAAAGCTTCTCAAAAAGATTTCAATTAAAACCTAATTGAGGTTAAGGTTGGGTTTTTGTTTTAAAAATATTTTGTCTTAATAATAATTTTTATGAATACTTTTTGTTTTGTTTCTATGAGTAGTCTATGTCATGCTACAATTAACAGTAGGGTAATTAATTCATATTTTGGTCTAGGCTCTTGCATGATAGTTGGAGCTCTATGCCTGATTGCCATGCTCTTCGTTGATGCTAAAACTGGACAGACCCAATGCAGTTGTAAGAATTTACTACAGTGAGCATGAAGGAGATGGGCAGTAACTGTTAAATATCACACAATCTGTTAACATTATCCAACTTGGGTGATATAAAAGCTTTCGTTTTTGTAACTAACATCACTGGTGTTATTATTTTTTATGTTAGGGTTGGTTTGTTAGGGTTGGTATGTTAGCATTGGTATGTTAGGGTTGGTATGTTAGGGTTGGTATGTTTTGTTGGTATGTTAGGGTTGGTATGTTTGGTTGGTATGTTTGGTTGGTATGTTTGGTTGGTGTGTTAGGGTTGGTATGTTAGGGTTGGTATGTTAGGGTTGGTATGTTAGGGTTGGTATGTTAGGGTTGGTATGTTAGGGTTGGTATGTTAGGGTTGGTATGTTAGGGTAGGTGTGTTAGGGTTGGTATGTTAGGGTTGCTATGTTAGGGTAGGTGTGTTAGGGTTGGTGTTTTAGGGTTGGTGTGTTAGGGTTGGTATGTTAGGGTTGGTATGTTAGAGTTGGTATATTAAAGTTGGTATGTTAGGGTTGGTGTGTTAGGGTTGGTGTTTTAGGGTTGGTGTGTCAGGGTTGGTATGTTAGGGTTGGTATGTTAGGGTTGGTATGTTAGGGTCGGTATGTTTGGGTTGGTATGTTAGGGTTGGTATTTTAGGGTTGGTATGTTAGAGTTGGTATGTTAGGGTTGGTATGTTAGGGGTGGTATGTTTGGTTGGTATTCGAGGGTTGGTATTTTAGGGTTGGTATGTTAGGGTTCGTATGTTAGGGTTGGTATGTTAGGGTCGGTATGTTTGGGTTGGTATGTTTGGGTTGGTATTTTAGGGTTGGTATGTTAGAGTTGGTATGTTAGGGTTGGTATGTTAGGGTTGGTATGTTTTGTTGGTATGTTAGGGTTGCTATGTTAGGGTTGGTATGTTAGGGTTGGTATGTTTGGTTGGTATTCGAGGGTTGATATGTTAGGGTCAGTATGTTAGGGTTGGTATGTTAGGGTTTGTGGTTTATTTTTTAAAAAACCTGGGTACAATGACACTGTTTGCTCTTTAGCTTGCTTCATATGAGACATGGGGTCTGTTGTTGTTTTCAGCCAAATGGAAAACAATTTGAAATAAAAATCTTCAGACTATTGGACAGTGAAATAATATGTGACGTCACGTAAATGAAAAGTTTCAATGTGTTTATTTGTGGTACTGTGGGTATTTTTTTGGGTTACTATGAGCTGTATGAGGAAGAAGAGGGTTAGAACATATGACTTAGTAATAATTTTGTATTTTACAAAAAGAGAAAGAAAACATATGCTCATTTTAGTTTGAAATATGAGTATGAGACAGACATGGTGAGCCTTGAAGTCATATGATAGATTTGGTGAGCCTTGAAGTCATATGATAGATTTGGTGAGGCTTGAAGTCATATGATGGACATGGTCAGGCATTGAAGTCATATGATAGACATGGTCAGGCCTTGAAGTCATATGATAGACATGGTCAGGCCTTGAAGTCATATGATAGACATGGTCAGGCCTTGAAGTCATATGATAGACATGGTGAGCCTTGAAGTCATATGATAGACATGGTCAGGCCTTGAAGTCATATGATAGACATGGTGAGCCTTGAAGTCATATGATAAACATGGTCAGGCCTTGAATTCATAAGATAGACATGGTCAGGCCTTGAAGTCATATGATAGACATGGTGAGCCTTGAAGTCATATGATAGACATGGTCAGGCCTTGAAGTCATTTGATGGACGTGGTCAGGCCTTGAAGTCATATGATAGACATGGTCAGACCTTGAAGTCATATGATAGACATGGTGAGCCTTGAAGTCATATGATAGACATGGTCAGGCCTTGAAGTCATATGATAGACATGGTGAGCCTTGAAGTCATATGATAAACATGGTCAGGCCTTGAATTCATAAGATAGACATGGTCAGGCCTTGAAGTCATATGATAGACATGGTGAGGCCTTGAAGTCATATGATAGACATGGTCAGGCCTTGAAGTCATATGATAGACATGGTCAGGCCTTGAAGTCATATGATAGACATGGTCAGGCCTTGAAGTCATATGATAGACATGGTGAGGCTTGAAGTCATATGATAGACATTGTCAGGCCTTGAAGTCATATGATAGACATGGTCAGGCCTTGAAGTCATATGATAGACATGGTCAGGCCTTGAAGTCATAAGATAGACATGGTCAGACCTTGAAGTCATATGATAGACATGGTGAGGCTTGAAGTCATATGATAAACATGGTCAGGCCTTGAAGTCATATGATAGACATGGTGAGCCTTGAAGTCATATGATAGACATGGTCAGTCCTTGAAGTCATATGATAGACATGGTCAGGCCTTGAAGTCATATGATAGACATGGTGAGCCTTGAAGTCATATGATAGACATGGTCAGTCCTTGAAGTCATATGATAGACATGGTCAGGCCTTGAAGTCATATGATAGACATGGTGAGCCTTGAAGTCATATGATAGACATGGTCAGGCCTTGAAGTCATATGATAGACATGGTCAGGCCTTGAAGTCATATGATAGACATGGTCAGGCCTTGAAGTCATATGATAGACATGGTCAGGCCTTGAAGTCATATGATAGACATGGTCAGTCCTTGAAGTCATATGATAGACATGGTCAGGCCTTGAAGTCATATGATAGACATGGTCAGGCCTTGAAGTCATATGATAGACATGGTCAAGCCTTGAAGTCATATGATAGACATGGTCAGGCCTTGAAGTCATATGATAGACATGGTCAGTCCTTGAAGTCATATGATAGACATGGTCAAGCCTTGAAGTCATATGATAGACATGGTCAGGCCTTGAAGTCATATGATAGACATGGTCAAGCCTTAAAGTCATATGATAGACATAGTGAGCCTTGAAGTCATATGATAGACATGGTCAGGCCTTGAATTCATATGATAGACATGGTGAGCCTTAAAGTCATATGATAGACATGGTCAAGCCTTGAAGTTATATGATAGATTTGGTGAGACTTGAAGTCATATGATAGACATGGTGAGGCTTGAAGTCATATGATAGACATGGTCAGGCCTTGAAGTCATAAGATAGACATGGTCAAGCCTTGAAGTTATATGATAGATTTGGTGAGACTTGAAGTCATATGATAGATTTGGTGAGACTTGAAGTCATATGATAGACATGGTGAGGCTTGAAGTCATATGATAGACATGGTCGGGCTTGAAGTCATATGATAGACGTCAGTTCTCTCTTATGTTGTGCCATTGTGGCAGATGAAAGTACATTAAAAAAGTAAAGAATCCTCTTTACCTAGCAATCCATTGGGAAGATGAAGTAGAGTTCATATGTTTCTTATCCTCGGCATGTGAAGGTAAGGTGTAGTCAGCACTTTGACCAGCCGTCTTTACTTTCCCTTATATGAGCTAGGTACCCATCAGAGCTGGGTGGACTCAGGGACAGAAGATTCGAACACAAGACTTGCGGGTCACCAGCCTAGCGCTCTACCGCTTAGGCCATGTTGTTGTCCCAAGGCAGATGAAAGGGCAGCATTTAAATCGATCTATCAATTTTGTTATTGTGAAATGTAAAACTCTGAAGACCCAGTAGCCCACTTAAACAGAATTATGTTTATTCTCGTCGATTAGCCCTAGCCTACCTTTGAACTATTTGCATAGTTGGTGCGGCGATATCATTACTTCGACCCTAAACTTTTAAAAACATGAACCCAAGTCCCTATCTGCGTCTTAATGTTTTGTACTTGCTATCAGAGTTTCTTCCAGGCAACTCTTCAGGGGGGGGGGACGCGAAACCCCCCTGAAAAAATTCTACCGGCCTCCCGAACGAAATAAAATTTATATAATTTATATAGAAAATATATATTTTAATCAGAAAGTCTACCGCACCACCCCCCCCCCCCCCCGAAAGAAAATTTCAAGTGCCCCCACGGAGAAAAATGTCTGGAAGAAACACTGCTTGCTATACCATATTATGTCGGTACGGCTAATATATAGCCGACTTTTGTTTTATTAGTAGATCTAGATGGTTTTGTTTGCACTTTCCTAATCTAAAAAAAAAATCAATATCATAGTTTTGTAAATATAAGCCTTATCACAGTCGCGTGGATACCGCTAATCCTAACTCTAAATCAACGTTTTAAAAGATACTAACATTTCAATTTATCGGTCATAACGTCGAAAATGTAAGTCCTAATAATAATAATTGCAGTTAATGACGGAAAAGTAAATTTCAATCATATAAAGTCTTTTTTGTGCGATATTCATTTATAAAATACACGTCAAAGTTATTTTAAATAAAGTGCTCTGTTTACAATATCCATGTTATAAAAGAAAGCAGTGTTTTTATTACCAGCCAACCAAATCGATTCGGTGTGCATGAAAAGTAAAAAGAACGTTTTCGTTTCTTCGCACCAAACCGCACCGCGCTTAGACCGGAAATGATGTCATTCATTGTTCTCGTAGTGATCAGGGCGAAGATTTTCGGTTGTATGGTAAATTCTGAAGAACTGAAATAATTTGCCAAGTAAACAAGGGAGGTGAGTTGCCCGGGTAGTTAAAAGCAAACATGTAAAGTGGATTTCGATAATAAGGTAATACGTTTTCAGATCTGTTCCTTACCATCAGCCTTTACGGCTAAAATTATTTGGAAGAGGTCATCGGGGTTAAGTACAAATCGGCTTTATAGACATCAATTTTTTGCCTAGAAACCACGTCGACAGGGTCTGTTACTATTTCAGGAACTTGTTAATTCCTATTAAAACTTTTTAAATGTCTGAATCGGCGCAGCTGCTGCTGTTGAAGTGAGTATTTGAACTTAGCATGGAAGGTGATACGTTTAACGTTCAGGGCATTATAAGTAAACTGAAGAATACACTAGCCAATAACACACTGTCTAGAGAAGGACTGTTGAATGAAATCATGGAGTTTGTGGTGAATCCGAACGCGGAGATGCTGGCCAACTCGCGCGGTGAAACTATCTTTGCAAACAATTATGGGATATCGCCTACTTGTGATATGCAATGTATCCCATGTGCCGGCATCCCGTGTCGAGACACAGTGGGGCCTAATAATGAAATAGATAACCCGTGTAATAACCAACGATTCTGCAGAGACGACCC